AGAGTAGGTCTTGTACGACGTTCTGAACCTGTAACTACCTTCATTGAACCAATTACACCCATCTGAAAGCCAGTTTCGTCAAAGTTGTGGATGTCGTCTAAATCAACCCCATACTTCTCAATTGTCTCTCGTACGAGGTTAAACCACGCGTTAATAATCTCTGGGTCCTCTTGCTGAACTCTCTGACGATCCTTTGCTTGATTGAAGGCTGTTCTAAGCTCGTCCGTACGCGATACGAACCGCTCTGGCCAGTTCTTGCCTAAAGGCTGGCCATCTCGTACGCGTAGTAGTTTTTCTGCCATATCTGCTACTTCACATAGACGGGGGGCAAATCCTCGCGAGTCTAGGTCAAGAATGTATCGTACGATAGTTTGCTCTTCAGATTTAGTTAGCTTCTGGCAATTTGGCTGCGTCGTAGGTCGAAAGGTGATTCCTTGAAGCCGCCGAGAGATCTGCTGATGATGGACGTTATAGGCTGCTGCAGCGCGTCGAATGCTCTTAAACTGGCCTGTACGATAGGCCTGAACTGCTAGAGTAAGCCTACCCTCTTGCTGAGTAAATATCACGTTCTGTTGTTGAGGCATTGTCTTTCGTACGTGAAGTTCGCGATGCCAAGAAAAAGTGGCACTCTCGGTGGGGTGGCACTCTCGGTGGTGGAATACGTTATAGCTAATAAGGTGCTTTAATATAGTTAAGCTTAAAGTTACTAAGTAAATAGTACTACCAGTAAGTATTATAAAAACTTATAAAAATAGTTAACTAGTTATTACTTTAAATTATAGCACTATAATATTTTATTAGTGTAAGTAAAGTATTATATAAAAGGTTTTAAGTTACATAGAAGCTTTCAAATAACCATTTATAATAAAAAGTACGTACTTTTACTTTATAAGGAGTTGAAAATTCTAGCTATAGTATAGATAAATATTAGCTTAGTCTAAAATGTCTATACGTAGCATTGTCTTCTAGCGTATAAATAGAAAATAATAGCTTTACCCCCTCCTTTATAGCTATAATAAGGTCTATATAGCTATTTTAAGTTAGAAATAAGTTATAGGACGTTTTAAGGTTTCTTTTTATGTAGGTTTTAGGCTGTGCAGGCTAGTAGGTGGTGAGTTCGTTTCGTTCTTTTATTAATCTAGATAAGCTGCTTTGAATATAGCCCCTCGTGGCCAGTATACGAGTGCAACGCTAAGAGCACATGTTACGTACAGTACAACATGGTTACACCGGGGCAATAAGAAAAAAACGAGAAATAGGAGTTGAGTGTGGTCATACTCGAGGCAGTACTTGATCGAAAAGGAAAGTGTAGCATTATTTCGGCCGTCGGTGCGCATAGTAAGCAGTGGTATCAACACCCTGTTGCACACCGGCCAGAAAAGCCGATGCGACGTTCTCGACGCCGTGCCTTTCTGACTTGAGCGTTGCGGCGAACGCATGGGCGACTCTGCTCGGAATAGGAGTCGCTGCGTCGCCTACACTAAGCTGCAACGAGTCGACGAGCGCGGCGATCATCCCTTGGATATGCTCGAGACGGGCATTTGGGCGATGTACGCCGAATGCGCGGGCGATGACTGCCATGGCCCTCGCAGCGACAATGTCATTGATGCTTTTGCACCGTTGCTGCATACGCGCGGCCACGTGACGCGTACGAAGGCCGCGTTCAATGTCAGCCAGACTGAGCAGCTCAGCGCAGGCGTCGTCGGCTTCGCACACCTCGTGCAGATGCGACAGGGGGAAATGCCACAGAATGGCTTCTGCGGGTACCGCGCACCACACCATACGCTCTGGGCCACACTGGTTACTTTAGGGTTTCCAAAGTGTAATATCAGGCTGCGCAATATAGCGTTATTGTACTTACCCGCGTGCCCTTTGTACCGCGCCCACCAGGCTAGGCCCTCGCTTTTCAGCATGCGTAAGACGGCGGCGGCGGGCAGCGTTTTGTGTCGTGTCGTAAGCGTCGGGTGGTCGAGCGCCACTTAGTCGTACATATGTAGTCAGCTCTATAAATTCAAGGTTCAACCCTATGTAGTTCAGAAATAAGGTTGACGTACCGACTGCTATCCGTGGATCATGCATTGTACTCGCCTTGACTAGAACCTGGAGGAGACTTGTCGACAGGGATACAAAGGTTGATGCACCGCCTGTTAGTGACAGGTCTGCCGGCAGTCAGTATATGTGAATGTAGTAGCATAGCTTACTTTTTTTTTCTAAACAACTTACGTAGATTTGTAAATATCATTAATGCCTGGCGTCCTTGGCCGTCTGGCGAGAAGGGAGGAGGGTACTCGTTCCGCCAGATAGTGAAAGCCTGACTGACGAATCCAGACTCTTCGGTGAATGCCGTCCGACTATTCGCGTCCCAAACACGAAATGCAATGTTTCGAACTGCAGGCGGCGTTCTGGTACCCGGAGTTATGGGTGCCAATGGAGAGCTTGAAGGAGAGTCCTCTACGTCGGACCAAGTCTCTTTGTCCATCTGATCCGGGTGCATAGATATATCTATCCGTCCGAGACGATATGGTATACTAGCGGGTTGTCGGCATGCTGGTAATTCAACAAGCTGACTCATCCGAGCAATGCGAGCCTTTTCTTTCTCCTGCTGTGTGGCTTTGCGCACGAGCGCCCTATATGTGCGCCGCGTCCTTGGTGACTTTGCGTATCGCGCTGTCCCAGAAGTAAAATGAACCTCTGTCTCTCGTCGCGGTAAATTGATGCCAGGCTCTGCTGCAGTGTCTTCGATGATACCACGAATCTCGTCGTATCTACCTTCGGGATCGTCAAACGGAACTGACATTACACGTGCGAACTCGGGAAATGCGCGCCCGCCATATAGTAGGATGTGGCTCTCGAACTGATAACGTACAACCGAGAGCCGAAGAGAGAGGCCAGTGACTGCGTTGAATACCTTTGGAATCGTCGAGGGGTCGGCATTGTTGTACCATCTGTACAACACAGTCAAAAGTTCTCTCTCATCCTCGTCCCAGAGATGTGAAGGATCTCGTTCAATTCTTCGCAGTGCTGCCAGAGACTCCAGGTTGCTGAGATCCTGTGTCAGTGGTATTGTAGAACCATTGGCCTCCTTTACATCGAACTTTAGCTTGTGCTGGACTGGCCGAAAATTATTTGCCTTGATTTGGTGATTGGTTTTATTAGGCCTGGGACCACCACCCATGACTTTTGAACCGAGAGAGGGCGGACAAGGCGTCAACTGGGAACCGATGCGACTTGACTCATTACTTGATGTACTTGCTCGACTCTGAGAAAGGCAAACGCTATCCTTCTGGGGCGAGTATGCAAATTCTTCTAGCTGCTCGTACAGGTCGCTGTCCAGAGGAGGCTCGACTTGGGTAGAGAACGTATAGGCAGATCGTGGTACAGGTGATGTTTCTGGTGTTAGGCCTTCTTCTTGTGAAATTGAAAGTGTCGAACTTGAGGACCTTTGCTCAGATACAGGTATTATATATGGCGGCTCGAACATTTCTTCAATCGAGGGAAGGACCAGCTCTTGCTCGACATGATCGTGACTGCTAGTCAAAGCTGCCGTTGAGAATTTAGTACCTATTACACATGAAGGAGCAAATTGAAATATCCTACCTTCTAATTCCGATTCTTTCGGAGCGTGCGACTGCGCTTTGAGTGCTTGACTGACCCCAGCGCCTGCCGGCTCCCATATCATCATCCCAGCGTCCACTGTCTTCCATATATGATGCGACATCTTGAAACGGCGAATTCGAAACTTCTTGTAACTCTTGAATCAAACTCAAAGTAAAGACGAGCTGCTGTACTGTGCTGTGTGACCTTGAAGTGGCGAGCGAAACACGAGCGCCTTCGGGCCTACAAACTTCAGTGATAACCCCGACGCGCCGCCGCGCCATGGAAGCGTGTGGAAACCCATCCGACATGTCGTGAGCGCGTAATACGTGTGGTGAAGTGAAGTGAGGCGAGTTGGGATGAGAGATGTTGTTAGCATAGCATTCATGGGCTGTGGCATCCAGCGAGGCGAAGTGTGAAGTAATCATCTTCAGATTACTACGCTTAGAGCACTCCCTTATCAAAGTTTCTTTTTCGTTATGATGTCGGCCTATATCAGAGCGTAATGGACCAGTCTCTCCGAAAGACGCGTAGGGCCATGTACTACAACTTTGCAGACTATGGTCATCTGCTAGTGTTAGTATATCTCTATCCTGGCAGTATCAACGGTTAGTATATGTACCTGAAACCGACGTGGCCATGTCCATTTCCAGCATCTAAATTGATGGGCCAGACGTGGTGCGCTGTTGCACGTGGGATAGTACTACACGAATTAGCCAATATGCCATGTACTGTTAAGTTCATGAGAAACTTCTTTACAATTCTAGCACATAACTCACCACCAATCTCTGTTTTTTGCTTGATATCATGGTCTCAGAAATGGGCCTTCGGTATTGCCGGGTTGATTGAGAGTGTCGAATTGTAGATATAGAGCTCCATGAAGAGAGAAAGAGATACTTTGAACTGTATTAGTAAAGATATTAGTCTGATGAGGCGGTCAAGCGAAGGAAAGACGCACCAACCAAACAGTGAGAGAGTGATATCGAGGTAAAGATGACATTCGACATTACATATAGCAGAAGACACAAATTTAGAAAGGTAAAATAGGCTGCAAGCCCAGTTTGGCACGGTATAAGGCAGGTGATAGTGCCTAGGTGAATAGAATGCACTTTTATCTCGCCTAAACACAATCCAAGCATAATGTCTGAGGCCCGTCTTAAGCCTGAAGCAATAATTATTCAATAGGATGACTGATATATGCAGGCATCCAGCGGCCACTCTCACCTACTCAAAGAGAAGAAACCGACTTCAAATGCATCAGTGAAGGCATCCCGACCACAGCCATACCACTTTTTCCAATCTCATCACAAAGCCCTAAAACCTATGCCTTGAATTTCCTCAGTCCAAACTTCTTCGCAAAATAGTTGTCCTTCATACAAGTTAGTAAAACGTGATTTTTTAGTTTCCAAAAAGCTACTAAGAATGCAAACCAACTTACCCAAAAGGTACGAGGCATAAGCCACGAAAGCCATCGAACCACGCTAGCCTGATGTCCATGCCACAACCAAGCACTCGTCTTCGGCTTCAGCAAATCGGCCACCACCTTCTTCGCATACACCTCCGTCGGCATAGCCGTACCTAAACCGTAGCGTTAGCTCATATTTTCCAACACATCTCTAACAATCGCTACTCACGCTGCGAGTTCCCCTGACGAAACAGATAATCCTCTTCTATCGGCATGTAGAGCGAGTTGGGCGGAAGCCTCTTCTTGACATCTGAAGTCTTACTTTTTACACCAGCCGTGGCGACTAGTACAACTTGGACTCTGCTCCTGTTAGCTTCTTACATGCCGTATTTTCTCTCTCTTTCCAAACCGAAGTATGGATGGGAATAAAGACATACCCAAACGGCTCCATTTCAATCCTCAGCGCGTCCGTCAAGGCATGCAGTGCCGCCTTGGACGCATTGTAGCATCCTTATCCTCGCACATTAGCCCATCATCCCTATAACAAGAGCGTCAGAAATTGGGGGAATACAACCACTACATACCTCCAAATACATAGGGAATGACGCCCGCCACCGACCCAATATTGGCTACTTTCCCCTTTGCAGCTATGAGCATCGGAGCAAGTTTCTGCGTCAGCAGGACACCGCCAAAGACGTTGATTTCAAACACCTTGCGCATGTTCTCGATTGTGAGATCAAGCACCGGCACGGTGAAGCTTATGCCGCTGTATCTCCAAGTCAGCGAAATGATTCCTCGAACAACTCTGAAAATTGGGAGCGTGTGGAAAACAGAAAGGAGGACGTACGCGTTGTTGATCAGAATATCGAGCTTCCCGTCTACGATGCGCTTACATAGAACGTCGTGCAGCGCTTGGATGCTTTCTGCCGATGTGACTTCATGCTCGATGGCTATGACGCCCTCGCTCAGAAGCGTCTTTTTGGCCTCGTCGGAGCGCACTGTGCCGAAGACTTGGAAGCCTTGACGCAGGAATTCCAGAGCGAGTTCGTGTCCGATGCCTCCTGGGGTGCATCTGTTCAATTTCTCCGTGTCAGCTGTGCTTGTCTTGGAAAAGGTTGTGAGAAGTTGTGCAATGGAAAGTAAGACCCGACATACCCGGTGACCAAGACTGTCCTTTGCCGAGTACTCATCTTGTTGTCACGTTCCTCACTCTCGATACCTCGAGTACTAATGTAGACTATAATTAAGACTTATTCACGTTGTCGAGCCTTGTCGTATCAAAGTCAATTATCCCACCAGCAAAATCTAACTATGTAAAAGATAATATGTATATGATTTCGGAGAGAATTATGTTCGAGAAAGAGGGGTCGATAAAGATTAAAATGACATTACAGCTCAGCCAGTACCGAGTTGCAGTCGTATATGATCGGCATCCGCGTTTCTCATTTCAGTCTTTGTTGTGACTGGGGTGCATCCGAGGAGAGTCGGCGCTCGGAAAACTGGGCGGCCGCCAGGAAAACAGTCGTCGTACGCTGCGTCCGTGCCCGCAGTGCGGGTGAATAGCCATCTTAGCCATGGGCTGCTGCTTAATAATATTGTCAAGTCAGCCTGATTGAGATATTCTTCAAGTCAAACATGACTAGATTTAAGGGGAGAAAAAGATTCCAAACGAAGATTGTAAAAGTGGGGTACTAGTTCACAGACAATGGTGGATCAAACATACAAACAGTTTGGAATGCAAACCCCATGATTAATACAAAACAATTATATGACATGAGCCGCGAGTAAGCCCAGGTATATCAATTGATTACACCCTCTGTTCTTTCCGCTCGCCTATCATTACCTCACTTCGCCTTTCCTGCCTCACAGGGCTCCCCTCCAGACTTCGCTCTGCAACTGGGGCTTCGACAATAAGCATTCCCTCGCCCAGTATGTCATCCTTCGCTGGATTTGAAGTCTGACTTTGCTGCCGGCCATGCCCACCCAAAGTCATACTTTGATTTCTCTGTCTCCTCTTTGGCAAAGGCGGTGGCGGCGTCGTTAACTCGCTAGCCGCAGAATTGGTCCTACGCCTCATGTCGCGGAACATTTCCTCGCCGTCTTCTGCGGCCGGCCGAGCATCTTGACCAGGAAAATGAGCTGCAGGAAGAAGCGAAGCTGTTCCCACCAAAGGTTGAGGGCTACCCAAATCTTCATGTGACTGTTTGGATGAGAGTGAAGGAGAAGTAGCAACAGGTTTCCGTTTTGCGAGGTTTGCAAAGGTTGAGGCTGCTGCGGGAATGGCCCAAGTCTGTCTCTTGTCATTCTTGGGCAAAGGCAGAGGAGTTCCCGGGGGTGGAAGCGGCTGACCCCTACCCATAGGCTCAGTATATGTTTTGGTGATAGGAGACTGGAGCTGGAGCTGTGGTCTGGAGTCTTGTGCTGCATCCCCAGGCAGATTTAGGCCTTCGGATGTCGGCGGCCTATTGTTGGCAGTAGCTTTGTTATTTTGTTTCGTAGCTAGCCAATTTCTCGCAGCTGCCGTGGCCGAATTGAGAGACTGATTAAGCGTCTGTCTTCTTGTCTGCATATTACTTGCTCCTGCAGCGGCTGCAGCTGCAGCTGCGGCTGCTATTTCTTGCTCGGATAAATCTTTTGACTTGGTCCGTGTGTGCGTGTGGTCCACAGTTGGAGTTGGTGCGGATGCTGTACTCTCGGCAGATATCGAAGGCATGGACAGATCTTCTGAAGAACTTGCCGAAGACTCTGTTCTCTGACGTGTGGTGCTCAATCGTTTGGGCGAGCGTGCGGGTGGGGCAATAGGAAGAGATCGAACACTTGTCGGCGTTGATGCAGGTTGGTGTGCTATCTCAGCGGAAGCATTCGCTGAATCAACCTTCACCTGAGCTGATGAGGAGGATGATCTCATGGGACGTGGCCTTACGGAGGACGTGGACGACCTGTGGTCTGCAGAGGAAGATACGCCAGTCGCGACCTCCTCCGACTCCACACTAGAAGCAATGGAAAAGTGTGCGCTGACCGAGTCGCTTTTCTCATCCAGTTTTTCTGTCTCAGGAACGATATGCTCCAACATGGCCTCTGGATCTTCTTCATCCTCTTTGGTGGTCTCTTCCCAGATGCCTCCTCTTATGACTTGTGCTATTGTGTCTGTAAAGGGCATGTCGTCCCAGTTGGGGAGCACCAAAGTCTCGTTGACGACTTCCCTTATACGGTTTTCAATTGCCCTTAGGACGACACCGTAGGTAATCTGCCGTGAACTGACGATTGGCTCGAGCGAAAACTCCATCTTGGGTGGCGTCTCAAATGTCATCCAGAGCCTGTTACTTGGCGGCGGCTTCACACGGATGAGAATGTGTCCGTCGAGCCTCTTCAACACGGTAGCTAAAATGAGTGTCACCTCGCGGGCCTTGAAGCGTGTACCTAGATCTATGCGCACAGTTGCCGAGACCTCAATACGAAAGTTGCCTTTGTAGCTAACATCAGCTTCTACGATGAGATCGCCATCCACGGTCAGCTCTTTGAGTTTGGGGTTTGTGATGAATGGCGGTAAAGTGCCCATGTCAACCTTGCGCAACTGCACGCTGCTGATGATTGCAGGCTTTGGGACGCGAGCAATCTTCTTGTTGATCTTGGCCGCGATAAAGTCCTTGATCTGTGTGGTCTTGTACAAGGCCAGAAACACTCTCCCAATCAGGGCGTTGATCCAACGAGTGTGTAGATTCTCTTCCGAGGCATGCAGCTGTTGGACGAGCTTGACAAGATCAGACGTGTCGAACTTGAGCGGAACGGTCGGCGAGTTGGAGTCGGAGGGGTCTTTCTGGTTTTCTTGTGCGTGTAGCATGGCGTGATAAAAGTCTTCCTTCTCAGAGCAGTTGTCAGAGAATAAGTAGAACCCTTTCGGAGTGGCAGTGCTGTCGTCATCCAGCTGCTGGATCAGTCGAATGCCTAGCTGTGTAAGCGTTGGAATGCAAAACGTGGCTTGAGAGACGTACAGTTTCTCTTGATCCACAGCTCGCCCTCAGGTATGCGCTCTCCACCTCCAAATACGTCCACCTGGTAATGAGCTAATGATATGACATGACGCACTTCGAGCTGGTCTTCGTTGTCGTAGAGCATGAGGTGGCCGAGGCTGGTATTCTGTCAGCTCTTGATCCTTTGGTGCTGCCCTGCGCAGCCAACATACCGCAAGACGACGTAGAAGACGTTCCGCGCCTTCTTGTTCTTATTATTCGACGCATCTATCGTCGGACTGGTGGTTTTGTTCCGATCGAAGATACTCCTGTACATGGACTGGTACACGCTGGGGCTCTCCACCGCCACGACGTTGCCTGCAGGAGTAGTCCGGTCCGGAGGCTTGCCATTGACGCCGCCTGGCACATACTCTCGACATACAGCGAAGTATCCTGCGCAGACATCCGGTTCGTGTGCCCTTCCCTTCAGCTTCTCCAGTATCTCATCGTCTATCGCTGGTCCCTGCCGTGCATCGCCGTCGCTCTTTCCAGCCAAGGATGTATTCGACCTGCGGCGGGGGTTCAGAGCTTCTCCATCTTCTCGAAGAGTCTCGCGCGGGCTGTCCGGGTCAACCGGTGCCGTACACCAGAACCATGCAACTGCAATAAGCGCAGGCAAGAGCGTCAGCCCTCCAATGATGTAGCCCCAAACAAAGATCTTGAACGCAGTTCCATAGTCCCAGTCCCCGCCCATGTTGCGTTACGTGTTATGCTGGCTTGCAGACCATCCCTCGCCATGCAACGGGTGCGGCGCGAAGGTCAGGGTTGTGTTCGGAGAGGCAATGTGTGCTGGTGCATGTGTTGGGAGGGAGAGTCCAGGTGTTGTTTATTCGGATAAATCGGCGCGTGCAGACAGGTCCAGTAACGAGTGACGTTTGTGAAACGAAAGCAGCCGGTGCTGGGTTGGTCGAAGATGGCCAGGGAAGCGGCACAAAAGCAAAGTAGCTGAGCCCCTGGGCAGGAATGGGCACAGTCGTGAGCTGAAGCACTAGTGAGAGCAGTCATCTGACGCGAGGCTGGCCGTTGGAGCTGCGCTATGGTACATGTATGGACGGGGCGACGTCGGAGGCCGGAGTTGCTCGCCTCCACATGTGATGATGCCCGTCGCTGATCGGCGCTAAGGGGCCCCTCCCGCCTCGCTATGACGGCATCTTGGGCCTTCCGCCCGTCGCATTTCCCATACCAACGCGTGCCTTGGGCGTACATTCACCGACTGCGACACCCTCGAAACCCCCGGCGCGCAACAAGGGCCCTCGCTGGTAAGTGCCCACTCTCTCTGTTGCGGCATGGCGAAACAGTCAGCGATGGCGGGGTTGGCCGAACTATACCCTGCGGGTAGAAGAGCACATACCCTTATTGTTACAAAGTAATATTATACTTGCAGAGCCGCCCCCGAAACCATAAAGTATAAATCCAACGCCTTCAGCCATACCGTGGCCTCTTTCCAGACAATGGATCACATGCACTAACGTAGCCTGCCCAGAATGCACAGTCTTGGTTGGCCTCGGCAGGCACATCAATACCCACTAGGCCGACACGGAAGTTTCTTCTCGAGACAGCGGATTCTATTTTGAAACTTAATAACCCGATACCGTGGGCTGACATGTCAACAACCGAGCCCCAGTCGTACACTCCGGACATACCCGCGGAGCCGGTGACGAGAGCCACCGAGAACATCCATGTGGAACTCACTCCCCACGACTTGGACTCGCTCTCGGCCACGCGCTTTGTCCGGTCGCCGTCTGCAGGCGCAACTGTCCTCTTCATAGGCACGACGCGCGACTCCTTCAATGACCAGCCCGTGTCGTCCCTAGCATACACATCGTACGCGCCCCTCGCCCTCTCGACTCTCTTCAAGATCGCGACCTCTATACTTGCCAAGCACTCGTGCACAAAGATTGCCATCATTCACAAGTTGGGTGAGTGCCCAATTGGCGAAGAGAGTATTGTCATTGCTGTGTCAGCGCCGCACAGACAGGCGGCGTGGAGGGCAGGCGAAGAAGCGCTCGAAGAGACAAAGGATAGGGCGGAAATATGGAAATTAGAGAGATTTGAAGGAGGCGAGGGGGTTTGGAGAGCGAACCGGGACGGGCAAAAGGGGGTGAAAGTTGAAGAGGGTGATCGAGGAGCAGCTCCGTAGACATGTCAGGCTGTGTAATATGTTCCGTGCACACAATTACGAACGAGGCCCAGCAATTGCAGTCAGTGGTGCAGCGTACTGCTTAGGTTGCCAGCACTTGTCTCAGTGTGCCAATGTGGGAGCGATGCGCATCAACACCGTTCCCATTGTCATGCTGATGACATGGCCATCTAATAAACACGTAGGTTTACCACTCAGAGACGACTGTGACTATGCCACTCGATTACTTGCAGATGCATGCAGTGGTGCTGCGATACCAAATTCCTCATGTGCTTCACGTGGTGAATCATTCCAGTACTGAATGCACTTGAGGTTGTACTTGAAGCCGAAGCCGACTGCGATCAGGCGATCTAGCTTCTCCCGTCCTACTGCAGTGTCCCATGAAGACCCGTATCAGCCGAAACATGGTCGAATGAGACGACTGAGAGCCTCCAAGTGGTACTGCATTCGTTGCTCAAGGCCATTTTCAGCTCGTGTCGTGTAAGGGGTCTGGTAACCTGGTAATGATGCGTTCTGAGATATATGCAAAGGGCAGAAAAGAGAAAATTGTCGTCATCTAATATTTCGTGCCGCTCACGAGACAGTTAGCAATGTATGGGTCCACAAGTAACGGTGGCTTCCTGCATATAATGCATTAGCATCAAGTGGCTCATAGTACTCACGACTTGTCGACGGTGCCAAGGAACCTTGACTCAGTGCTAAGCTGGCCTTGCATCATCATCATATCCAACTGCAGCAGCTTGAAATTGAATTGCTTTGCCGTGGATGGCTTCCACAATGCCCCAATGGTACTACTGAGAAGTAGCTACCAGAGAAGGACTCCGCTTTCTGTTGTATACACTATTCCTACAGTCGTACTCGTACACGTAATTCGTCGTTATTGGCTTTTCTCAGACCCATCTTTCACATCCTCCTCTATTATCCGCATTTGCCCAGATGCTGCTATCATCTCGCTGATGGTATTCGGTATCTTGTCTTCGGACTCGTATATTCGGTCGTAGTTTAGGCGGCTTCTGAGTACCGCGCGAGCCTCCTTCAAGTTTGCAATGTCGAACGTCCACATGGCTCCACCTAGCGCCATGATCCCAACGCTGACACAGTTCATTGTAGCCAGGTTTAGAGCCTGACAAGCATCCGAGAAGGGACTAAAGTATTCGTGAGGGTTCGTATTCGCGTCGTAAAACTTTGGCTTGATCCGTAGCTGCCGACGCCATATAGCCTTTCGTGTTATTGCTGTCGACGCCAATAGGCAAGCACTTCCGAGGAAATATATTGAAAGTTGCCGTAACGAACGTGGCGAGGTAATAGGTGTGCCTGTGTATGCATTCTCGGCTGGAGGCTGTGGCGGAGGGTTGACCGGTGCGGCTGTTGGTCTGCTCATCATTCGTAGAACCGGAACTTTCTGAATGACTTCCATGAAATCTAGGCAGCGCTGCGAGTAGGGCGGGGTGGTATGTCGGGTAACTATAGTTCTAGTGCCGCATTCCGGATGCGCTGCGGACCCCCGAACCGGTTTGTAGTAAGAAAGATGCGTGCTTAGCTCCCGTTGACCGTGTCACAAGTGATTCGTTATGAGTCGAAATAGCGGTGCAATATGACGTTTAACACGAACGTGGGGCTTCAGAGGCAATGGCACGGAGAGTGTGTGGAGGGAGGGCATCACAAAAAAGTTGTGATGGAACCGCGGCTGGTGGACCCTTGGTCTGTGCGCTCCCAAGCCCAAGCCCCCCGCAAGACGTCAGTCTGCCCCCACCCTCGTCCCACGCCTGCAACCCTCCAATATATCCTTACCTACCAACTGCGTAATCAGTTTCTGGAACATTATAACGTGGTTTCTTCCTGGGTAAAACCAGCCAAGTCTTCAATCACCAGATGCTGGCTTCAACTATTCCCACTCCCTATGCAGAGAGTGCCTAGGCTTGACGCACATGGAGCTGCAGTCAGCGAAGATCATTTTCAGGAACACCCGGAAGATCAACTCCTAGCTCCCGGTGAACCTGCCTAGCTTACATCAACTCTTCGGTTGTCTCACAGGAATCCTCCCGGATCATGCAAAGTACCCCATTGGCTGAGTAGTCAGCTTGAGCACGACAGCCTGCAGGACGAATAACACGCGTTGCATTCGACTTGCGTATTGGCGAGACTGTCCCATGTGAGACGACCTGACTTGCTTTTCAACGCTCTGTCGTACGCGTAAATCACATGATGGCTGTAAACGTCGTCAACACGAGCAAGCCTTTTTCAACATCGAAAGAGGACAATGACATATTGATACAGACTCAGTGGAAACGAATTGACTTCTCGGCTTTCTATACTCGAATACTGATAAGGGTATCACTAGGAAAACGAAAGCAGTTCCTCATATGCTTACGGCTAAAACATGTTTCTGGTCACTATTACGGGCTGTGCATAATTGCATCGCAGGACAACAAGATCTGACCATACATCATCGGCCTTCCATGTATTCTAGTTCCGCTAGTGTACTGATAACCCAGCACTGCAGGGCCTAAAATTGAAGATTAGCTTGCAGAGCTGTGTACCCGACACAACACGAGAAATGGGCGTTCAATGGTAGCAATATGCAAGCCGATTCTGTCTATGTCTCCCACAAAGAGACCGGGCCAATCTGTGCTATCAGGATATCAGGAGTAGCGGCGACAATTATCCACAGGGACAAGAATGCTCGAACTATAAAACCGTCGTCTTGCTCAGGTTGATCAAGAGCATCCGCACGAAAGAACATCTACTCAACAGACCCACTGTTTAACCATCAATCTTCAATACAAAAATCATACCAAACATGCTCATTCCAACCCTTCTGGTCTCCTCAGCTTTCGCTTCCCTGTCGGCCATTATCCCAGGGTACACTATACCTCCTTCGCTGACATCTGATGGATATTTAATTTCTGTGCCTCCACCACAAGAAACTATCATATCTCCATCGCTAGCAACTATCATATCTCCATCGCTAGCAACTATCATTTCTCCACCGCTAGCAACTACCATTTCTCCACCACTAGCAACTACCATCTGCTCTCCTTGTACGCGCATATCTGGTCTCTCTGATCAACTTGTGCTAACTATTGGTAGCCCTCTGGATTACTTCCATTATTGGCGCAGGAAAGACTACATACAGGTCTACCAAGACGGTAGTCATCCCTGTCACCACTGTCATTGCGAAGCCGTCTATAGCCACTATTCCCATCCCATACACCACCACAAAAAACAGCATCAAGGTATAAGGTTTACAGTCCTATAGTAGCAGATCATATTGCTCACACGGCCAGACCGTCACCGCGCTCAGTACCGCTTACACAACCAAAACCTACCCTGTCGTCACTACCGTCTACAGCACCCGGGTGGAGAGCAACGTCAAGTCTTCCATAAAAGTCGAGACAGTCCCGTTCGTGTATGTTTTACTCTCCACTGCTTGCTTGGCCGACGCTATCGCTAATACTGGATAGTTCAACTGGCACTTCTTACAAGATGAGCGTCGCAACTGCTACAGAGACCGTCATCACCTCCAAGACGACAGCTTCTGTCGTCATAGAGACGGCAAACGTACCCAGTACCTACATTTCTACCGGCATCAAGACGGTCTGCACGACCAACAGCGGTTACGGCAGCGGCTATTACCCCGCTTGAACTATGACACAAGCTGTGTACCTAGTTGTGTGGGACATCGAGACGGGCACGAAATGGGTAATCTGGAGCTGGCAAAGCCAGCTAAAACATTCCTTACATACGTACCAATGCTGCCTTCCTGATCAGGCTTTTCACGCACATACTGCACTTGTCGCTCCTTTAGCTATATTTCACCAGTGTGGAAATGGTGCAATGAGAAAATCAACTATCCTTCCAATATCATTAAGCTCTGTCTAAAAACGTTGTCGGTATCGCAAGCATATGCTGTGCATCAAGATGACATTCCCATACATTTTGTTTTCAAAATGGTCAATCGCAGATTGCAAATCTTCCATCTCGGCCCAAAACTATCCAAATCGCGGTCCATGATTCTAGTATCTTGACCTGTGCATGGGTCGTGCGGGAGCCTGCATCATAGCGAGGCGCGCGGGGTTCATGCCAAAAGTTTCGGCTTCAGATGCCTTTTCCGGTTCCGCAGTCTCGCCATTGGTGTCTGCGTCCTTGCCAGATTTTGCTTCCTTTTTCTGCTTGCGTTCACTCTGCTTCATCTCGAGTTCGGCCTTCTTGACGCGGTCGCGGGCGCGCTCGTCGTGGAGCTTTTCGTTCTTGGCTGCAATCTTGGATTTGCGGGCTTCGCTGTTGCCGCCGCCTCCAGCGCTATTGTAGTTCGTTAGCTTTCTGGGCTGTATACTGGAGTTGATTCAGGAAGGATTTCGTAACGCACCTCAACTCAACGTTGATCTTCCGGCCCTCCTTCTTCTTGGGGTCGGGGAAGACCGAGTGGTGGTACTTCTTTAGGCAAGTCACCATGCGGTCGAATCGGTCAAACTCGATGAAGCACGTGCCCATGAACTTTTCGCTACCCTTGTATGTGCGCAGGCGGATCTCGGTGGGCTTGATCTTTTCAAAGTGCTTCTCGATTTGCTCTTTCGTGGCCGAGTAGGGGAGATTGCCTGGTGGTTGCGTGTTAGCGACAGGTAGATGGTATAAGTAGGCGATACAACGTACCGACAAAGACGATGAAGCGACCCTGGTTGGCCTCAACTGCAGCTTCAGCTTCTTCCGCCTCCTCTGCATTTACTTCCACCGCAGCCTCCTCGTCTTTTGCAGTAGCTTCGCCATTGGTCTCAGCTGCGGGCTGTTCCTCGACGGGAGCTTCTCCGTTGGTCTCCGCCTTTCCAGACTTCTTAGCCTTTTTCTCTTTTTTCTCCTTCTTCTCCTTTTTGTCTTTCTTCTTTTCCTTCTTCTCAGCCTTCGAGTCAGAGTCTACCCCGTTGACTTCCACCGGAGCATCTTCTGCTGTGCCATTTTGCTGCTCAGGCGCATCCTCCATGGGCGTGTCTTCAGTCTCAGCAACATCCTTGCTCTTCTTGGACTTTTTCGACTCCTTGTCTTTCTTAGACTTCTTCTTGTCCTTCTTCGCCGATGCATCAGTCGCATCGGGCATGGGCTCATCGTCGTTGACACTGATGAAGTTCTCAGATTTTTTCATCTCATCGATAAGCTCAGTCTCGGCGGGCGCATCTTCGGAAGCGGCGACGTCTTTGGACTTCTTGGACTTCTTTTCCTTTTTCTCATTCTTCTCCTTCTTTGAATCGTCGACAGAATCGTCGACTGCAGGCGTGTCCACGTTGTCCTTGGACTTTTTCGACTTCTTGTCCTTCTTTTCCTTCTTATCCTTCTTTGCTTCCGCCGCTTCGATCACCGGCGCATCCTGAGTATCTTCGACCTTCTTGGACTTTTTGGACTTTTTCGGCGCATCTTCTGCTACCTCAGCATCGCGCTTGCGCTTCTTCTCGACGCTGTCAACCTTGGACTTGGACATGATGGTTGCGCAAAAATGTTGGAGTGGTGCTGTAGCGTCGCGAAACGAAATTCCGGGCCCTTGAACTTTTTCTGCCGAGCGGTGAACGCAGGCGCCGTCTTGGCGCGTGAACTGGCCCGCAAAGCCCATCTCCAAAGATGGCAGCACAAACCGCAAGCCACAATGCGGCCGGCGCATCGAATAAAGCTTCTACAGGGCTCATTGAAGCCTCCGAGAAACCGCACGTCTGACCGTCCTCCCTGCCCGCGCCAGTTCTCGTACAAGCATCCCCGCCAATTCCTCGTTGCCCACCAAGGCTCTGCGCGGCCCCAACTTCCGTTCCTCTACCCCTCCGGCCAACATATCTCTAATGGCCAACTCCAACGTTTGTTTTCCATCAGCGCAAACCACAAGAAATTCATAAAGGAGACGGCCAAATTGAGTGTGCGGTACAGCATACTAATTTTCCTGCTCACGTCATGTTTCAGTATCGCGAGTTTGGGAATACTGAGCGAACAACAAGAGCGAGCGTTTCCGTCGCCGCACGAATGGAGTCTGATTACACGGTTCAGATTTAGGAGAGGAAAGTGGTGGCAGGTTCCAGAGAACAATGAGGATGAGGGTTTCCCGAACTGGGCGCGGGTCTACTCTGAGCTCGAATATGCGCTGAACCGGCTAGAAAATCCAAACAAGGATGGAGCTGGTCTGGCGGAGCAAGAGGAGGGAGGAATACTGGTACCAGGACTAGGCAAGGCGGGCTTCGATATAACTGCGAAGAGCGAGGAGTGGCGGCAGGGCTACTATGAAGTGCTCATGGGCATGGCCAGCGCAGCAGAGCGGTTAGATGGATGGGTTACGGACAAGTGGAGGAGGAACGTATGGGCGCCAGAGTTCGTTCAATCGGCCACGAATCCGCGACCGAAAGCTGTACTTCCTGGTATGCCAGAGGTACCTGACGAAGAGCACCGTGTGCCTGCTGCCGAGGCACCTGAGTCGTTTTACCTCAAGATCATCACATCCAAGGGTTTTAGTACATACCAAAGATTGTCTGCAGCCCTGGGCTATGCCGACTGGCTCAGCTTCAGGAAGCTACCAGACTCTGCCGAGGAGATGTACAGATGGGCACTAGACATTGCCATTGCAGGTCTTCCCACCCCTGAACCCTCTGCCGTCATCAACCGAGAGACTGCAGTTCTCTCTTCCAAGGCCCCAAAGGAGGCAATCACTCCAAATATTGTTTACGCCGCTACGAATCTCGCTACCTTCCTAGCTGAGCAAAGGAGAGTCGCAGCCGCACTACCAATTTTTGTCTCTCTGCTCCGCGCTCGCATGAGCGCAGACGAGGCTCGTATTCCCACAATCGCACCACAAAAAGATTCAAGCTTGACGGGCACTTTGCTGAGCCTCCTTCGCGAGCCCGACTACCCACCTGTTCCTCCTTCAGGTGATGAACCACTTTTGCGCAAAGAGAGTGACCGTTGTGAGGAAGCTGCTCTCAAGAACTACATTGGCGAGATTCTCTTCGCGACCGCTGGCTCGTCCTCAGACCAGCGCCAGCAGGGCCTCTCGTGGGTCCGCGATGCCGTTTCTACCTCCAAGGTTGCCCAGTCCTTGGATGTCATACGCGCTAACAAGGACCTCCGCAAGAAGTGCGAACAGTGCGAGGAGGTTGGCCTCGAGTCTTGGGGAAAAATCATGACCTATCTTGCTGCTGAAGCCAGAGAAAAGCGTGACCAGGCGAAGAGCGGAGGGTTGTCAAGGTTGCTGTGGAACGTGAAGGGCACGAAAGGGCTGGATGATGAAGTGGAGAATCTGGAGGGTGAAGAGGAGGGCGTCATACTCAGGCTGAACAAGCTTAGGAGTAAGATGTTGAAAGAAGAGTATGCGGAGATGGATCGCAAATATGCAAGGACATTTGTATTCTAGCTGCTGATTGTATCATACATGTGTAAATAGGAGGCAGTTTTACAGATAATGGTACATTGCCTTGAGTCCATGTGACGAAGATATCATTACAGCCATCTTGTAAAGAAAATACCTGTAGAGCACTCGCACCATCAGCTCTTTAATGTGTTTGAAATCTAAAAGTCAATCAGTTTGTTGTTCTCCAGCCGGTTCACACAATCACATACCAGATATGCTTGTCATCACCGTGTGGGGGGTTCCCAGAGCCAACAAGGATCAGATTGAACTGACCTCCAGCTTTAAGTGAGCGTTTATTGATGTGTTGTAGGATCTTCTTATCCATGTCGGGTATCGCATTCGCTTTGCAGTCGGTCCACGGCACATGATCGCCCTTCTTGAAGCGTAACGCAGGGTGGTTACAGAGGCAGGGCTCTGTGGTTCTCATAACCAACCCATATCTTTATTCTCGTGTTTTTCATTGCTTCCTTGCTCCTCCAGATATAAGAAGAGGCTCCATGCGGTTCTAGGGAACCCGAAATCGGATCGAGGCTCGCGGAAAATGGCGAAGAAGTCGGCAAACTGTCATCATCACTCTCGCTAGCGCGCTACCCGGGACTTGGTAACTGTTGGGGACTGCGTGAGCGGCGCAAGTTAGGTAGTCCGTAACGTCCTTGGCTGCTGTGTGGGTAACAAGGCTTGCAATTATGGCATCGAAAGAGGTAAGTTGACCCTGCGAATCAGTGTCGCAAGAGGCACTGAAGCGGAGAGGCAGGTGGAAAATCGAGCTCCGCAGAGGAGCGGTACTGGCACAGATGAGGAAGAACTCCGTCGGGTTGGTTGGTACTGAGGAAGATGCCATGTTTAGATTGTTGTGATGGTGCTGCATTCGAGGTGATGATAACATGGAGAAGGTAGGATAGAAGAGACTTGTAGAGTTGTTGCACAATTAGCTATTTGGTGAAGCTGAACAATCTGAGAAGAGAGAGAGTATGTGTGAGAAAGGGAGAGCGGGGGGGAGTTGGATGTAGAAGGTGGGCAACCTGCAGCTTGAATATATGTTGTCTAGTCGCAGCGTTTGCCTGCTCAGCGCCTGCTAGCACTACTGAGTTGACGTCACTGCTGGCGCATATATGGTGAATACAATAACATGTGCGGTCTGCCAGGTAAATCACTACACCGCTAATGATATTCACGTAGCAGTGACGTACTAAACTATTGTGGCCGTCACCACAATCTGATCTCCGCTTGAAGCATGCCTGTTGTGCATTTCTCATATCATATTCATACACCGCCATTGGCTCAAACCCTGAAGCCAGTCAAATAAACCTCCTTCTTTTTGCATTCCGCTCTCCATTCTAATCCCACAATTGATGCTGATGTTCTGCATCCTCTTGTTTCTTGGTCTCCAGTACATTCTCAAACTCAGGAGGTACTGAACGACTAAACTCTTGCAGCATAGCAGTAAGATGTGGATTCGTCTCCCAGGATCCAGCGCCACACATACTCTCGTAAGCATTTTTTACGTCCTCGTATCGCTTAGCCGTCGACTTTGCCCATTCTCTTATGTTCTGTCCGTGAGGAAGAATAGAGCCAACTCGAACGTTGGTCGAGTTATCGAATGGGCCCTTTAGACAGTTGGCGTACACAAACTGATCCAATTCCTGCTCTTTAATACTGCTAAGGATATCAACCAGATCTTCTCTATTTAAGACGTTCCCCAGGTACTTTGATGTCTCCAGCCAACCAAAGATTCGCCCAAGATTCTCCGTGTCACAGCGTGCGATCAGTATAGCAAGCGGACTCCTCGAAAGTACCTCGCTAAGACCCTTTTGGACACTGCTCGCGTCTACCCCTCGAGTTGTTTTCCAAGTCCAGTGTGTATTCGAACAGGTTGACTGCGTTGGTGAGAGCGCAGGTTGTAGGTGAGCCCGTGGCGGTGCGTAGATCCATCCTCCTCATGATGCATTCCATCGACAATAACCCATGTTTGACCATCTCTTCCCACACCAGTATGAAACGCTCTTGCATCTGAAAACGCCATTTCAGACCATCAAGTATAACCTTTAGGCGCTGCACAGTTCTTCTTGACTGAAATCTTTCGGATAAGCCCAAAACAGGCGCGGACTGAACCCAATGTCTTTTAGGTCACCAACCTTGCCTTGAACCGCAGTCAAGTTGATCTCCATCTGGATAACTGCAAACGCCTGACCTGCAGCTGCTGGTGCTTGCTCAGTCAGATATGGAGTATGATAGGAATCTGTTATATTGTGAAGACGTACAAAGAACAGCACAGCTTAAACAGCACGTCTAGTGTATATAGACAGCTGTTGGTTAGTAAACTGACACCAAGCAGTTGTAGGCAGTGGTAGACAGTGTCAGCAGGCATTGGTATGTGGTGGTGGTAGGCAAGCAGAAATAGTAATCAGTACTGGTAGGCAGTAGTAGTAAGGAGTAAATAATAGTATTTGGCAGTGGTAGGCAGTGGTGGCACTAGGCGGTGATTGCAGCTTTAGCTGCAGATTATACGCGGTAGTGGTAGGCAGGGAGAAGCGCCAGGCAGTAGTGGCAGTCATTAGTAGATAGTAGTCGGTATAGTAGACAGTGGCAGAGCGAGGCATCTCAGTTACTTATAATGCGCACCCCGAAGGCATACTCTGACCCGCACGCACTCACTGCATTTAACCTTTTGCGTCCTATACCAACCCACGTGACCCCCCCGCAAACAGATCCCTACAAACCAATCCGGTAATCCCCCAAAACAGCAACCCTATAGCAAACACACCCTTCTCTCCGCATCAGCAACAAATCCTCCCCCGAAAATAAACACGTACTCCACGTGATGCTCAACCCCATCAAACCAGCGATTCCCCATCACCAACAATCTGCGCGAAAAACTCAACCTCACACACACACACACACACACCTGACCCACCTCTCCAATATCTCCTAGAAACTCCCCCCACGTGCCAAACCCGATATTCGCATGCAGTGCATCGTTTGCCAGGGGGGATGCAAGTGTGCAATGTGATGAGCGCACATGCAATAACTCTCCCTGCTCCGCTCCGCCATACAACCACATAGCATGCACGTAGCAAACACGCGCTGTATCGTCGAAGCATGACAAGTGCGAAATGGTACTTGATCCATTTCCATATAGGAAGGTTACACCGCGGAGCGCGCAGTTGAAAAATAAATAAAAAAATGGTTCGGCTTGAACGCTCAAGACATACTTACATGCATTAAGTAGACGCTAAGACAGCACCACTAAGTACATACGTACGTACTTACTATCACCACCACCACCACCACCACCACCACCACCACACAGGACCAACCACTCCTTAACACCAAGATACCCACGACCGCGTGCAAAAAAAAACGGGGGAATGCGGTTCCACCGAGTTCTTGTAAGTAGTCAGATTTTTTGTTTTCTCGCGTTGCTGCAAGACGGAGCGAAACGAAGAGTCAGTCGATACCGTGTAAATAATGTCTCATTTTGTTTTGCAGCCATCAGCAGGTCCTATCAGCACGCGGGTGCGCATCCATCCCTGCAACGGCGCATTGCCACATGCGGCTGCGAAGTATCCAGGGGGGGCAGCGAACATGGCCAGCCAGCCAACCACGGGCACGCCACAGCCGTCGTGGGCATGGCCTGAGGCACCTGTTTTTCTTCTGCATTGGAGCTGCAGCTGTTGTGTCGTTCACGTGTAGGTTCTGCCGTTCTCCCGTGTGCTTGGTAAGGGGGTGGTGGTGGTGCGTGTGTGGGTGTGCATGTGGAAATCACACGGCTACTCGCGCACGGCGAATCAGCGCGCGGTGATGCGCTGGGTGTTCGTGAGTGGAGGTGTTGCTGGCGAGGAATTGTGGGGAGAAGGAATGGCGGCCAGACGGGTATGCATGGTGTCTTGAGCGTCGAGTGCAGACGCGGCTCAGCTGGACGAGAGATGGTGGGTGTGGTGGGTGTGTGAGTATAGGAGGTGTGTGAGTGTGTCTGCAGATGTTCATATAAATGCGTTGTCAGTAGGGATGCTGAATACCAAGCCTACTTTCTCGTCGTTCTTTTCTCTCTGTTATTACTGTATAGGAAAGCCAGAAAACCATGGGTTTCAAGTCGCTGGTTGCCGCTGCTACTATCGCAGTGTCGTCCGTGGTGAACGGGGCGCCGCTGTCACTGGAAGAAAGACAAGCACCGAGCAGTGTACCCGACTACGTGCTGAAATATGGTCAGTAAACCATTCCATACTTGCTCCCAAAGGCCACCAAGAAAAGAACTCTTCTGATAATTCTCCCAAGCCCCAATCGTATATCTACACTCGGACGACGCGTACCACCCCACCGATCTCCAGTCCTTCCTCAACCCCACGACGCCGCGCGTAAACTACCAAGAAGTCCCGGGGCCCTCCAAGCCCCTGACAACGTTGAACCTGGATCAAATGGCCAGCAACGTGTGGCTCACGTCCAACGACGACGTGACCAAGAACCCCGAGTGGATCAAAGGCACAAAGCCCAATGCCAACGGCAAGACTGAGGGCGCCACCACCGCAGCTGTTATCGTCAACGACAAGGGCAACGGCAATGTAGATGCTTTCTACATGTACTTTTACGCCTACAACTACGGCGGCGAGGTCCTCGGGTGGAAGAATTTGAACTTTGGTACTTGCACACCTCTTCTCCGCATACACCACCACTCACTGCATAACTAACAATCCCACCCTCGCAGGCAACCACGTCGGCGACTGGGAACACACCATGGTGCGCTTCTCCAACGGCTCACCCACCGCAGTCTGGTTCTCGCAGCACGCCAACGGCCAAGCATTCCGGTACACAGCAGTGGAAAAAGACAGCGCAAGCGGACAGCGGCCCGTGGCGTACTCGGCCAAGGGCTCGCACGCAAACTACGCCATACCAGGGACGCACGACCACACCATCCCCAATCTGAATCTACCCGGCGGCGTTCTGGAAGATTACACCAATCGTGGCACGCGCTGGGACCCGCTGCTGAGCGCGTGGTTCTACCGCGTGCGCTTTAGCAGTGCGAATCCCCAGTTCGAGGCGTACGACGGCAAGGCGCCCACGGCGTGGCTGGGATTCAAGGGCCGCTGGGGCGACGAGCAGTACCCGGATAGCGATAAACGCCAGTTCAAACTGTTTGGCCAGGCCAAGTTCACGGGCGGTCCTACGGGTCCCGCCGACAAGCAGCTGAATCGCGAGAAGGTGTGTCCTGAGAATGGCAACCTGTGTATCTTGCGCAGTATCCTGGTGCCGAGGAGGAGGAGGAGGGAAACGGAGGGGTTTGTGAGGCAGGGTGATGAAGTGGTGGTTTGACCGTCATCCTGATTAATACTTTGATACCCGGATTTTTCATATACTACAGGAAATGTAATAATAGTAATGTTTACAACATGGCATAAGCGCTGTTCTTTTGCCCATATCAACTTTGTGAATAGAACACGTGCTACTTCAGGCAAGAGGATGAGTGGAAAAACCACATCTCACTGATAATGGGCCCAAGAAAGTCTCTGTGAAAAGTATCGAATGCTCTTTCGAAGTCTAAAATGAATTGCTGTGCTGGTGTAATCGAATCAATCGCTTCCTCGGGGTCCTTTGTCGCTTATAGATCAATAAAAATTCGTAGTGCGGTGCTGATATCCAAAAGAAAAAAAAGGCTGGCACTCTTCAAGCGTGCCGGCGGGGCGACCTTACCCGTCGTGCTGGAGCCAGTGAGATAATATGTATACAGAAACCAACTCTTAGATAGCTTCCCAACGCCAATATGCCTTAAAAATGTGTATCAAAACCCATCACCCTCTTTCCATTCTCTTCCCGCTTCCAGCGCCCGGTTCTTGGGATCCAGGCCTCGAACTTGGGCATCGTGTATTAGACGCTCGATAATAGGCTCCAAGCGTTCAATCTCTTTAATGTAATGGGCGTCTTTGCCGGGTTCGGGCGGTTCGACTGATTTGAGGCCCTCTTTTGCTGCCTGCTCGGCCTCTACTCTCTGGTTTTCCCAGTCCTGGTAATTTGATTGATTCTCGGCCAGCTCGTTCTGGAGAGCGATGAAGTTATCGTATTCTTCTTCGCCGCCGAAGCAGAACCCATACTGTTCGCAATAACACATATGTTCCTTTGGACAAAGCACGTTTTGTCCCGTGAAGACATACTGCCACACGTACTCCCAAACACGGCCACTAAGCGAATCGGGGATCTGTGTGTTGAACATCCAGTCGCGGTACCAGACGTATTGTGCATAGGGCTTCGCTTGTATGCGTTCTCGTGAGATGGCAAACTGGGCGCAGCATGGCTGGGCCAGGACTTCGGGGATTTCGTCAAGGGGGAATAGTTCGCTCCACGACTTTGCAAGAAGAACCTCTTCTTGCTTGTACTCGTTCTTGACTGTTTCGCCGGGGTGCTGCCAATCCGGGCAGCCGGGGTCCCAACTGCAGCGCATGTTGACGTAGCCTTTCCTCCAAACGTGCGGCAGGCTTAGGCGGTTTACGAGTTGATGCGCGTCGCTCCCGAGAAGTAGGTCGTTGTGCCATGCCAGCTGATGCGCGTGCATGAAGATTGAGACGTCGGGAAGATTGTCGTAGTGGTCAATGATGTACGACAGGTATATCATGACCTCGTGGCCCTTGTTCTTGGGCGGGTGCAAGGGCGCGCTCGGGTCGTCGGCGACGTAGACAGCCAGCTCTTGGTCGGGCATCTTTTCCCGTATCCAGTCAATGTTTTCATCCTTTGTCCGCGCAATCACCAGCGTCGACGTGTAGTTGTGCCCCGGAGGCATGGGCGAGCCGGGCGTGAAGACGAGTTTCGGGTTCCAGTTGGCGTAGTCGGGATCGCTGGGCGTGTCTTTGGAAGGGTCGGCGTTGGCAGCGCTGTCGACGTGTTCTCCCAAGCCAACATGCTGGGGCAAGTCCCTCCATGTGTCGCTGGTGCGCAGGCCCGAGTAGAAGGAGGTGACTATGAATAGGGCGACGACCAGCGCCAGGAATGGAATGGCGTTTCGTCGAGTCATTGTGGACAGCAGAGCGAAAGTCGCAGGAGGGCGGGTGTGCGATGATGAAGAAACCTGGTAGAGAATCAAGTCTTATTGAAGCCACATGTCAGACCAGGCGGCAGGCCGCCCCATCAAGGTTCCCTCTGCACTCACCAGTGGCGTTTTGTTTCCCCATATAGACGGCAGTGCAACGCTTGTACCTGGCTAAGGCGTCGAGGCACATACACATACATATGTATTATCCCAGAGATCGACGGGGGTTCCGCCTGGCACGGCTGACTCGCAGCATAACAGATCATGGTGCATGTCATGGAGAGGGCGAGGGAGGCGCTAGGCCTGTCATCCAAGGGGCCCCCCAGGCCTCTTTTGCCCCCCCATCACTTGGGGCCGTTTCGAGGGCGACCTGAGGCGCGACCAACCTTCAGCCAACGTCCATGGTGACGACGCCTGGCCGTCTCGCCGTTAGCGGACCGCGGGCGCTGCCGGTGCCCGTATCTGTCACATCTCTGTGCATCGCTCGTGTTCCTATTTCTTCTCCGTGTCAACCTGTCCCCGAGCTGTCGTTCCCTCCCTTGCCTCTGCCCTTTACTCTCCTCGCCTGGTCATAACGGAGCCCCCCCCCCGGCACTGCTCTTGATTTCGCGCCGCGCGGCGCCTCCACCGTGAGCACAGTAAGCCCGACACCATAAACGCAAACCGACACTTCTGACAATGCTGTCGTGTTATGCAAACCATACGAAGACAGCATGGGGCTGTGTACATGATGCTGAGCAGCACCAAACACGACGCTCGCCACCATGGCATGTCTCCAGCATCTACCACTACCACTACCACTACCACTACCAGCTGGCTGCTTGGCTCATCAGCGGGCGAGCCGACCTTCCCAAGCCAACAAGACCAGTAATACAGCGGCAATGTAACCGTGTATCGCCAGCAAAAGCGCATACTTTTCCTCGACTCGGCCATCATCAGTCATACACACAGAGACACATACACACACACCTACATGCTAGTCGCCATGGCAGGCAACCAATCTACTGCGCTTGCACTTGGGGGCTGCTGCCATCAAACAGACGTGTGATGTCGTGCCAACAACACGTCTTGCACACGCTTCTCTCCCAAGTGCAGCGACCAACAAGGCACGCACACTCACTCTCTCTCTCTCACACATGCGACGAAAAAGGGAAATGTGAGACAAACAAAATTCGGGGGGAGGAGCACGCACCTTCGGCTGTACCTGACTGCCACCGCCCGCACATGCACCACCACCACCGCCACCACCATCACCACCACGACATGGCCGTTTGCATCCAGCAAACACGACTCAGCGGCAGCCTACAATCACGGGCCCGCCAGGCGCATAGTCTTGGCGTGGTGGTTTGGTTGGGTTGGGGCTGCTTTGCTTTTCGACGGGCGTCAGCTACACCACGCAAATGGGGCCGTGGCAAGTGGCTGCATCTACTCTCATCCAGACATGTTGGTGCGAAGATACAATGCGCAAGGCTGTAAAAAGCGTCCGACGTCGATAGTCTCAACCCCACTTAAGCTACTGGGGGGGTCGGGGAGGGCGCGGGCATGGTGGACGATGCATGATAGTGACAGTATTTAGACAGTGCTGCTCATGCGGAAGGTGGTGTGGGGACTGGTTACTGGACGTCCAGGTTGCATCGAGAGGCAGTAGATAGAAGTACAATTTGGTGTCGATCAAGATGACTGATGCTCCCACGGGCTATAGACGATGCCCCGAAAGCATTCACCGATGTGCTGAACCGTTTCTCCAAGGAAATTACCGAGCTGACGAAGGCTAAAATCATGTCGAGCTGCAAGCGCGCACTCCACGGCAGAGCTGCGAACCATATCGATGAACTCGGCTATGAACGCGATCGCAGCAGGTCTCCGCGTGGTGACCGGCGCGACGAGGGCGCGCGTCCTCGCAGCGCCTCGCCGGGCGGTCGCGACAGCCGGTATGTTGATGGTGCCTGTGGCATTGCTGGCCGATGGAATGATTGACTGACGTGGATGCAGTGGCCCGCCGCCAGAGCGCAGGAACGACGACGACGAGAGCCGCAACTCTGGCTCGAACCTCTTCGTCACAGGCATCCACCCCACTCTCACCGAGGACGAAGTCACGCGTCTCTTTGAGAAGTACGGCGACGTGGAGCAGTGCAACATCATGCGCGACCCGCACACCAAGGAGTCTCGCGGCTTTGGCTTTGTCAAGATGGTCACGTCGGAGCAGGCTGACGCGGCCAAGGAGGGTCTACAGGGCGAAGTTCACCAAGGCCGCACACTGAGCATCGAGAAGGCTCGCCGTGCGCGTCCGCGTACGCCGACGCCGGGCAAGTACTACGGCCCCCCGAAGCGCGGTAAGTGTGGATGGTGTTTGTTTGGGTTGCGTGTGTGATGGGCTAATGGCATGAGCAGAGTTTGGCGGGCGTGGCCGCGGCGGCCCTCGCTACGGAGACCGGGACTCGTACGACCGCCGTGGTGGCGGATACGGGCGACGTGATGACTATGGCTCTCGCGGCTCACGGTACGAGGACCGCGGCTACGGAGGTGGCCGTCGTGACGACTATGGCCCCCGGGGCGTGGATCGCTATGCGTCTGAGCGCAGGTACGATCGCCGCGGCGGTGGTGGTGACTACTACGACAGGCCTCCTCCACCAGCTGCTGGCGGCTACGACGCGCCTCCTCCGCGTGAGGGATACGGGGGCGGAGGACGCTCGTACGAGGGTGACTACGATCGTTCATATCGCTAGCTCCGCAGCTGACACAGGCAGAACCCAAACGGTACTAAGTTAGGGTTCGTATGGCATCCTCGGTTTTGCGCCTTTTCCAGCACTTCACTTCTGTAATCCTAAGACTACTTCACTGGGGTTCAGTTTAATACGGCTTTTACACGCACACAAAGGGAATGTGGACGACAAAACGAGGCTCGTCTAGCATCCAGTCAGTACGCCGCACACAGGGCACAAGCAGGCAGAGACAAACCGTCGTAGGCGCGCTGTTCGTTTTCGTACTCCATGCTGATGATGTCGTGGTGGGTCACGAGTGTTGATAGTTGGTTGGTTGGGGAAAGGTGTTTGCTGAAGCTGGAGTTTGGGCGATTTTTTGGCAGGGCTGATCGACGGTAGCCGCTTCTCACTTAGTAAGCGGCGCGCTAGCGCTACAGATGCTGCACCCAAGTGGAGTAAAAGTGGAAAATAGGGTGAAGGAGAGTGGAGGCCGCCCGCCGAGAACCAGCTGCTATTTGTATCTTGGTTGCAACCCGCCCGTCTGCAGCGACAAAGGCCCACGGCAGCAGCAGCTCGAGCAGAGACGCCTTTGGCCGAGGCAGCTGCAGCTGCTAGGGGGGGACAGCGCCCACCGCCCCCGTTCTGGCCGCCATTCCCCATCCGTCCTCACGCTGGCTGCCGCAACAAGCTGCTCCAAGCGGTCGCCATGAGAATAAACTACTATACTTGTTCTTGCTCGTGTTCCAGCCTACTGCTCCCCATGTTTCGTTACCCCTGCCGACGAGACTCGGTGCAACTGCAACCCGGCAGCTAACCAATCCAATTACTCCATGCCACCATGTCCTGCTGGAAAGAAACCATCGACACGCGTTGGCCGGTCCCAGATCGTAAAGTGTACGCCATGCACCACACGCCCGTAGTGTCCCTTCTACGCCGTCAGGTAGCTATGTTACAAATGCCCAAGATAATACAAGATGCGACACGACTTGTCCATGCGCAAGAAGAGGAAAACAAAGCAAACAAAGAAACAAAATACTGACCACATCCTCAATCACCACCCCCTGGACCGCTTCTGCCTTTTGCGCGCCACCGCCTTCTTGATGGCTGCCACGTTCGATTCTGCCGTGTCCAACGATCGGACAGGATCCGAATTGGCTAGGCCGTCCAGCTCGTCATCGTCCAGCTCACTCAACTCCTCGCTCATGTCTCGAAGCACCTCACGACCAGTATACCGCTCTTCGTATACGGTGGTCCCGTGCACATCAAACGTCTCAAAGTACCACGGCACACCGCCGTTGCCCAGCGGATTAAGTAGGTTCTTCTCCGATCTCGGAGGCGTCAAAGGCTCGGGACGACCATCGACATGGCCATGGTTTTCGGCAAGTCCGTCGCCTTGAGCCTGCGTCTGAGAAACGTGCAATGCGTCTTGACCAAGCTGCAGCGCAATAGCCGCCTCATCAGCCGCTTCATCGTGTGTACGGTCTGCATCCGCGCCATTTTCGTCGGGAGTGGGCGCCATTTGTATTTCTTCAGACTTCTGGCCAATGGCGGCGGCTTCTTCTCCATCCAGAACACCCTTGTGGACTTGTCCCACATTTGGCTGGTCCGTTTCCGTGGTTTGCCGAATATTTTCATCATGTGAGAGCACACTGGACCTGCGCTGGAGCTTTTGATTAAGGAGCGTCTCCAAATCAGGCAGTTTCTCGTATGGCCTGCCAGCCAGCTCGGATTCTTTTCGGATTGCGTCCTCAAAATGGGGCTGCAAGACTTTGGTGATGCGCTTGACAATCTTCTTCATCTCCTTCTGCTCAGACGTCAAGCTGCTATGGGAGACCTGGTTGAGCTGTTGTTCGGCCTCGTTGATGTTGGTGACGGCGGCAAACCCAAGCTCAGCGCTCAGAGCAGCCGCCATGTCTTCGTTAAATGTCTGTACGGACGTGTAAAACTTCTCGTCGAGCTTGGTCTGGAGCTGATTAAACCCATCGCTAAAGTAGCCTCGGCTGTCAAGTCTGAAGGAAGTTAGCCAAAGGTATTCAAGGGTCAGGGTAGTCGGCTTACGCTTGTGCTCGAGCGAGAATGGGCTGCAGCAGTTGCGGAATCGGGAAGTAGATGCAGTCGACAATTTGCTGCAAAATGAGGACATCCTTGAGCTTTTCAGCCTCTCGCTGTTTGACCATTTCACACAGCACCCGGATCTGTTCCATGTCGTCTTCAAGGCGCTCTGCAAACTCAATACGTCGCTGCAGCCGAGGTCTGCCAGCGGCACCCATGCCTGCAAAATTACGGCGGGTGATCTCCATGGACGAGAAAGCCTCCATTTGCAGCTGTAGGCGCTTGAGGAGCGCAGCACCACGCCGTGCCTCTCGCTTCAATGTCCAGTATTTGCAGGCGTCCTGTACAAACTCCTTGCGCTTACGAACGTTGAATCTAATGAGCGTGTTTTCGACATTGTGGTAGACGGCCTGTGGTACAACGGGAGCGCCAGAAGGAAGTCTCCAGGATTTTGTCCCCGATGCGCGTTTGCGCTTGTTGGAGCCTGGGGTATCGTCGTCTGGTCCTTCGATAGAAGGCATTGCATGTGACGATCCGATGGAAAGGGCGTATGCTTGACTGTCTGGCCATCGGACATGGCGCATGGTATGCCGGTAAAAGGCTTTTGCATCTGCAATCGCGCTCTCCACATCATACTCGCGCTTCCAGTCGGAGGGAGTGTGACGGTCGCAATAGGCTTTGAGCACGGTCGGATCCTGTGGATTTGTCGACTGTGACGCCTTCATACGTAAGCACAGCCTGGCCCGGCGCGCACATGTCACATGGAAAGCCTCAAAACACGACTTGTGTCCGCACTGGATACAAGCGCCCATTTTCTGTTTGCAGATGTAACACGACTGTATTTGGTTAGTTTGGCTCGCAGGCAGACTGAGATAGCATGTACTTACCAATTTCCAGCGAGTCTTGGGTACCTTCTCCACGTCCTGCACTGGCTCTTGGAAGGTTGCATTGCCAAGTGATACTTCTGGGATCCACATGGCGCATAGCAAGTGTGCCCATTTCATGGATGTTGTCTGCTTGAATGCACCATCGATGTTTGGACAAAAGATGCAGCCCTATGGAAGTCAGTATGCACTGGGTAAAGTGGATGTTGATAAGACATACCGGAAGCTCACTAACGGGCGTACCGCGCCCCACTAACTGGCACCGTCTACATAGCCACTGGCCTTCTGGAATGAAAGGCACTCCATAGCATTCCTGGTGTACAGCCAGGTCGCATCCATCGCAAAAAACTATGGCATTGGTGTTCTCGCAGTCGCCATCATCGCAAATAGCGCACTTTGTGTCTTGTTCCTCACCTTGCCCAGCGGGTTCTCCGTTGACAGCCGCTGCACTACTAGATCGCGGCCGATGCGTCTGAGGTGGCTTGGGATTTGGTTTGGGTATGCCTTTTGCACGTCAGCTGGCTCGTTCGACATAGACTGGTCCTATGCGACTTACGCTTCTCCAATGCATGCCACTCTTTCTCGATCTGAGTGATTGTGACTTCAAATATCGCGGGTTTGATGCCTTCAACGCCCTCTTCTTTTCGCTGCACATTGAGCGCCTCCAGCCACCGTTCGTCTTGCTCATCCATGTCGAATTCCACGCGACCCAGAGCAACTGCGCCCGCAGTCCCCTCGGCCTCTGTCTGCAATGTCAGGTCAAGGTCTTCTTCAATGGAGCCTTCGGGGAGGCGAATCAGGCTATTCTCCGAGCTCCTTACAAAGACCTCGCTCTCCTGATAGCCAATGTTCGCCATGGTCTTGTCCACATAATTGACCTTGACTCCTTCGCTTTCCTCGTGCTCCTTGAACGGGTCCACTTGGCGCACTGATGGTTTGGGCAGATTCAATTTCTCGCGGGGATTCATCGTCGGAAGGGGATTGATGCGCGGCCGAGGGGGCGGGCCGAGACCGGAAAGCATGGAGGAGTGTCTGTCGCGCGGGGGTCGTCCAGGCCGTCGTGGTTTTGGTGTCAGAAGCGCGCTTTCTTCATGCTCGGCAGGCTCGGGCGGCTGGGATCGCAGGCCGTCAAGGAGAGCAGAGAAACCATTATCAATCGCATATTGTCCGCTGGCCGAAGCGTCCTGTGGCGTGGCTGAGGCACTTTCCGTCGGACTGATGCCATCAATCTGGTCTGCGCTAAAGACGGGCAATTCGGCATCTATGTCGAGATCAGGATGGAACTCGTCCCAGGACCGTTCTTCGCGCGGCTTGAATCCATCGTTTTGAGCCACGGCGGCGGCAACTGCAGCAGCAGAGCTGGAGCGTGGTCCGCCGGCCGGCCGTTCGCGTCGGGGTCGTGAGTATGACGGCGAGGGCGCCGACATGGAACCGTGCTGTCTGTCGGCGTTGAGGCGTCCGGTGCGGCTGCGAGCGCCCGTATAGCTATATCCTGGTGTTTCGGGCCCTTCGTAATCAACGTACTGCCCACCACCCCCTGCGCCGCCCGGTATGTATTTGCGCCGTTTGTTGACAGGCGCCGTGTCAGAGATGTGTCGCCGGGGCGGTCGTGCACTTCTCACGCGTGGTCGCGGGGTCTCGATTGGCGCCATGGAGAGGGTGTTGAGTGTCGTGTCTAGAGGCCCCAGGTGCGACTGAGGTTCCGATCGCGAGATGACGCGCTGGAACAGATGCGGTTAGCGTGGTCACAGTCGCCGCGCCCACGCCCTCCACGAGCATGACTTGGGTATTTTACCAGGGGAACCTGAAGATGCAGCGTCTTCGCCGGCTCTGCGCGCAAGACATTTGGCTGCGCGTGCTGCTGCTGGGTGAGGTTGAAGCCGGGGAGAGCCAATCCGGCTAGCGCGCCAAGACGACAAGTGGGCTGCATGCGCGAGATCGTCTACATCTTGATCAGCCTCGATCAGCACAGCACCATGTATGGCGCACAGCAGTAATGGTCGTCGTATCTGGTTATGCAGTGCATGCAGAACTATATTCTCGCGGGTTTTATTCTTTTTTTCCGGGATCAGGGGCAAAATACCGACAGCCTCCTCTGCCACGTGTTCGTCGTTCACGACTTCTCCAGAACCATCCTGGAACTAGTTCAACACTACACGATGCTACATTTTCCTCTAACAGACGCATTGTCCTATCGCTTCCAGATCGCTGGATATTCGCTTTTCGGGCCTATTCAGTCCAAAAGTCAGCCCGTCTCCATACGTCACTCTAAGCCGTTATTCGATACTGAGCTCAGCGAGTCATCAGCACACCTCCGCTCGAGCCCCGTCAATCTGACCCTGCGCTCAGGGTCTCTGGATTTATCTGATACGTTCGACTGTAATAATGTAAGCACTTGACATATGGACTTTCCACAGACACCTGCAGCACTCGGTAGGCATTTTAATTCATAAAAGAAGTGTCCTAGACGAATCGCACATCGTGTGGCATGAACTGTCTCCTGATGCTAGACCCACCGTTTTGGATTGCGAAGCCTGTAGAATTCTAGACTTTCTAAACACGCAAACTTCATGAAACTATTGATTACTATACCGTAATTGGTCGCATTTCCGCTTTTGGACATGGACCCCTCTAGCGTATTATTTGTCGCATTCCTCGACATCACCGTACCGCCTTGGCAACGTATGTATTTTGCCAAAGGTGAAAGAAGTGGGAAACTGAAAGAAGTGAGACGTTGATGGTTAAAATCATAGGATGATAATCCAACAGCGCGTTGTATTGATTGGGAAGACAAGTAGCAACAGAAGAGCTCCAGAGAAGTACTAATAGATCCAGGACAAACGAAAATTAAATACTGATCGAAAGAAAAGTTATAATCACCAACCTTACGCAGCACATTACCCAGCTGCTAAAACAAAAATGGTGCAAACCCCCCCAGCCAGCTCCTGAATCGCATATTCACTCTCTGCAAAAGAATATTCACTGCGCGCTCAATCCCAATCGAGCATGTGCTCTAAGATAATAATACAGAAAAACCGTTGCATGCTCAAACCACTTCTCAGTCAAGCCTGCCGGCCCATGGGCTAGGCACTCCCGGCAGAAATAACACCAGCACTCTGCACCTGCGGACCCACCCATCATCAGCTCTCCACCATTCAAACATTATTTAGAAAGAAAAGCAACAACAGAAAAGAACGCACAATACATTCACGATTATACGCACAGATAATTGCAATACTCGTATTACACCCCGGCACACAACTTCACCGTTTCCCCAACAACTTCCTACTAGCCTCGCTCTGGACGCGTATCGTTGCATGCTTCTCACTGGTACTGCGTTATATTGTGTGCGATGCACTAGAACTTCCGGCGTCCCGTGCGCGCGTACGCAGTCTTTGTGGACTTTCGAACGCAGCGCTCGTGCTAAGATGCAGATGGCGCTCCATCAGAAAGAAAAGAAAAAATCTATTAGTATTTCGACTGAAATAAAAGAAGGGGTGTGGAGAGTCGTGATTACAAGGTCGTGTACGGGTATCGGTGCTGACTGTGCAGACTCCTGTTTTCTCACAATAGTACATGTTGAATTGTGATAACGCAAATACCTATCTTTTCCACTCAATCATCCATGTTTTCGTTTTTCCCGAAGAATGTGCAAGCCGGAGGACTGCGAATACATCCTTCGGACTCCAATGTCTCCGACATGACCAACTCTCAAATCATGCATCACTCTCCTCTTTGGAGACATACGATGCATTCGAACAGAATACCTGAATAATGAGTCTATCTTTTTCTTTTTCATCTCCAAGTAGTGGCTAGACGGACTGGCAGGGACTCAGTATCTCTCACAAGCGAACTTTGAGCATGAACTGGCTCGCGTCATGTAAACGGCTCCTTTTCTCGCTGGTGCACACACGTCACAGATCGTTCTGCATAGTTGCTCCCAAACTGGCTTATGAATAGATCTGAGTCCAATGCATGCGGCAATATGCTGAGCTATAAGCAAAGAGAACCTTCATGCACTGAATTACCATTGGTCTTCCGATGTATCTCAAGTTAGCGACCATGAATAAGCGCGGTCGGTCCATTGTACCCGTCACGGAACTTCCCGAGCGTGCTGACTAGTTATGCGACCTGTATCTTTGGTACACTGTATGTAATGTGACTAAGCATTCTCGAATTCTCCAGCACCTCAGAACATCGGTAATGTAAGTTCTCTACTCGGCATTTGCTTGGACAAGCACGGCATCTCCCAATCGCGTGTACTTCATGAAGAGAAACAGTGTGAAGATTGTAGCGCGGTCAATGTCACCGGCATTTGGTTTTTCTAGCTTCTGCGAGTGTACAGGGTACGCGTTTGAGCAGGTGAACAGGAGATGTTGGATTCTGTGAGGCACATTGAATACGCAGTGACTTGCTACCCATCCAGACCAGCTACCTATAAAACCATCCTGATTCGTAATGATTGCCATAGCAGTCCAGCTCTCCAGCCTCCGGGTTAACCGGTTTTCTCATAACCGTAATGTCTCCCGGCCAATAGCCTTCAAGATCTGGATCAGCCTGACCCATCAGCACCAGATTACTGTAAGCAGCCTTCCTTTCTCTGCGGAACTTGGCCACTTCTTCAACAACATCAAGCAGTCTTTTAGCACCAGCTTCAGCGATTGTAGACTCAGGAACTGGCTGCATGGGATTGGTAGTACCAGCAAGCTCCAGTCCGCTCATGGCTGCCAGGGGCAGTGTGCGATCTATGTCTGGAAACTGGCCACACTCCTGGTCGCCAAAGAAGGAAAAGTCATGCGATGCTTGTTCCCAGAATGCTTCCGAGTCTGCGTCTTCGGTAGTGGACCTGGTGGGATATGCGCGCCAGCTAGTGGATATCTTTTTGGGCGCCGACTGCGGCGCCGCCATTTCCAACACGATGCGTCGAAGGGCAAACAGACCGCGCGCATATTCCTCTTCGGCGACAGCACGTCTGCGGCCTGGAGGGAGCATGTAGGTGTGTCTTGCTTGGTGTTTTGCAATCAACGTCTCCTCAGCTGCATCTTTAATGAACTGGATTATGCGGTCTACGACATGCTTCTCAGTTGTGATGGGAACGTCTGTCAAGACCAGAGTGTGCAGATTTGGAACCATGCCAGGATGCAAACACCGTTCTTGCGACTGGCGGTGTTCTAAGCGAGCTCTTCGGTCGTCAAGATAGAGAGAAGACGTTCCCTGTAACCTCATCTCCGAAGGTAATGCCGATGGCGTTGTTACGTTGCATGTGGGTCCTAGAGAAGCTCCGGTCTCTTTATGGAGAGAATTGACTGGGGTTAGCGGGTCCACCAATAATGGTTCCGGAGTATTCGCAGTGCGTCGTTTGATTAGCGATGGTTGAGGAGCCAGGTCCTCGTAACCACCTGCATGTGTACTCGACGAAGCATGATTGGGAGGCCTAACTGATGGATATGAACCGTGGAGTTCAACCGGGAGTGCCAAGTCTCCTAACATTTCATGAACGACTGCCGACTCGGAGTGAAGTTCAGCCGTCCGTGGCTCGACAGCCTCAAGTTCATGAGCAGCGGAGTTGTAAATGCCGGGATCTCCACACAGTTCCACACGCGGCGGTGTAGCCAGCTCGAGGTATGCATCTCCTGTCACAACCTGATAGTTGAGTCGAATGTACCTCAACCTATGCGACGCGAATTTGGATATGATTGGGATCAACTTTGCAACGCTGGGTAGCTCCATGTCATCTTCTCCTGCCCCCGGGTCTGTAGGGTAGGGATTACGGATGGTAGCAGCCAATGTACCTGCGTCGAGGACTTGCAGGCGTCCTGACCGCAACAGGCCCGAGATTCCTTCAATGGTGATGGCATTCTTGGATAGGTAAAGATATGAGATTCCGACATCTCTCGTTTTCTCTATGGTCAGAGTGCCGATAAATCCCTCAGTGAGCTTTTTGCGAAGATGGCCTACGAGATTCTCAGACTCAAACAAATCCAATTCATTGTCTGTTTGTTCTTGCTCAACAGGTGCCAACGGTCCCCGGTAGGCATGTGGGGCAATGACCGTCTCTTTCAGGCAGAGCTCAAGCAAAAGCCGAGTGCTGGTATCTGTCAAGTAATTATCACTAATGTCAAGGCTTCTGACTCTACTTCTGATTGAATGCGCAACTGTCCAAAAGTCTTCGTCCTTCAAGCCTAGGCCTCGGAGGTTCAGAACGCGCAGGTTGCGAATGTGTCTGAGAGCAGACAGCACCGCCTTGTCTCGTGTAGCTGGGGTCTTTGATAAGTCGAGGGAAACAAGATCTGGAAAATGCGGCAAGGCCTCTGCAAGGCCGGTCGACGTGGCATTTGTACATCCCGAAGCATCAAGCAGTCGCAGTCCGAAAACAGGAAATGAGTTGGCCCGTATCGACCTCAATCGAAGGCTCGGATACCGCAGACTAAGAAGACATGCGTGGTCGAAAAACGGAAGACCATTGACGATCAGACACTGTAAGCGAGGCAGATATTCAAGACAGTCCCTCAGCCACTCTGCATGGGGGCCGTCATAAATCTCAGCATGCGCTGGTGGGAAGCGCAGGGTATGGGTGAGCTCTCTCACAAAGGGCCGGACGTAGGGCAGGGTACGTTTGAACCGCGTTAGTGCCACTATGGTGGGTCAGCCAATGTCGGCGCCTTGTACCTTGGACCACAATACCGTATACAGTATCATTCTGAACCCCAAAATGCGATGCTGGGCTTCCCCAAAGGTTGGGTGTGAAGATGGCATGCCATGACCGACAGACTAAGGCTGCGGAGCACAAGTCTTGGGAAGGCAAGTATGGTGCGACGAGTATCCATGGGTCGCGTCGCATCACACTCTCGTACGATGGAAGGAGATCGTCCATGTTGTCGGGAGAGGCAAGATCATTTCTCCAGAGACGAAGAAAGCGAGCAGCACATGCGCATGAGTTAGCAGGTTCGGTGTTTAGTTGTGGCTGTGTTAGTTGCTGTCGGGGGCCAAAGCGATGATGTAACGTCAGGCGCTCCTAAGCGAGTTGTATTGCTGACTACTTTTGGCTGTGTAGGTATACTCTAACTTGTGTCTAACCTTGATGATGAGATATATCGGCCGTATCCTCGTAAATATTCGTAACCAATAGCCCTGATTTTGTCGCCAGCGCTGCATGAAATCCACACCTTAACCGCCTATTACCATGCTTGTGTTCTACTATGCTAAACCATCTGCAGCGCACCACATGACCACATGCTCAGTCCGCTCCGTTCATAATCTCACTTGCAAACTTACTCCTTGCTCTAATTCTAGGCCCATAAAAGACTAATATCCAAGGTACGATGGTCAGGAGCGCGCCAATGCCACCTAACAGGCTACTTGCTGGGCCATAGCCAAGCGATTTGTACATTCTTTCAGTGATAAGTGGGAATACACCACCTGAGCAACGTCAGCAGCTGTACATGATGTCATAATAATGGACTCACCGAGAATGTTTCGACAAAAGGACTGTGCAGCTATTGCCGAGCTTGCATAGCGATGGTACGTGTCGGCCAGGAAGTTGAACGTCGCCAGATAGATTGAGAAGATGCCGATACTCGCAATGCCGATTGCAATGGCAGGAGCAGCCCAACTTATCTTCTCAAAGCTTGTCCATCCAAACATGAATAGCCCAATTGGCATGAAGCCACTCTCGATGCATGCAAAGTACAATCGGCTCTCTGCTGTCCCTGTTGCCTTTCCATATCGTTTTGCAATCTTTTCTTGATATATGGATAGTATCGTTGCCAGAATGCTAGCTACGGTCATGAAGGCGAAGACGGCATTGGCTTCCTGCAGCGAAAATCCATGTATGCTTCGAAAAACTAGCGGGATAGCAGCCAGAGTCAGGTATAGTATTCCCCAGGCGAAAGAAATCCACATCGAGAACCAAAAAACGACCGGCTCTGTGAAAAGGAGGTAAAACGGCCGGGACAGAGAGATGCTAATCATCTTGCTGAGGGATGCGCGCTCTTCGTCGGATTTTACTTTCCAACGTAAACGCAGCGAGGTCGTGGATTCGGGTTTGTGACCGTCCAAGACGTTGAAGCCAAAGTAGCCTGCTTCTTCTCGAGCACAGTACCACTTGTTCAAGGCCTTGGCTTTTCTTGATAGCAGAACAGATCCTCGAGTTTCTTTGAATACCACAAACAAGAGTGCCACCAGGACTCCACATGAGATTGCTTGCGTGTAGAAAATCCAACGCCAGGTGGTGTTTTGCGCAATGAAGCCACATACAAGAGGACCAGAGGAGGTGCCGAACAGGGCTGCGCCAGTGAAGAGAGCCATGGGCGTGTTACGCTCTTCAGGATGATATATGTCTGACACGACGCCACTAACCATTGTCGAGAAGGTCGAGCCACCGATGCCTAAGAAGAAGCGTGTGACCAGCATCCCGGCTAATGAGCGCGTCAGGCCGGAGCATAGTTGACAGATGACAAAAACAACCCCGGAAGCGAGGAAGACAGGTCGGCGGCCGTTGATTTCAGAAAATGGGGCCAAGCACATGGGGGCAAGGGCAAAGCCAGTAGTAAACGTTGTAATGCCACACAGTGCTGCAACCTTGCTCACACCCCATTCTTTCGTCATCTGCTCGACGCCTGGGCTATAAGATCCAGCCGAGAATGCAGTGAGGGCGGTGATGACACATGATGTCCATATGATAAATCTCTTCCTAGTTTCAGACCAGTCGAAAGGATTCGTGTATTTGACAAGATCTGGAGGTGGAGGCGGTAGCACTTGGCTGGGTTGTTGTGGATGGATCGTAGTGGGGAGTGGGAGTTCGGTATCGAAGGTCAAGTATTGCCATACTATTTCGGTCTGCTGGGTGTTTTGTTGCGATTTGCAGTCGCGCGTAACGTCGTATGTATAGGTTTCTTCTTCTTCTTTGTCTGAGTTGTCGCTCGAAATCGCCGCGGGGTCGTCACTCAGTTTTTCGTTCATAGCACCCGGGGACAAATCCAAGGTTGGTCTTATTCCCGGGCTGGTGTCCGTGTCCGAGATGTCAAGATGGGGGCTCTCGGGAAGATACAGCACCTGGCTAGGGGCCATGTTGCTGTCAGGTCGCGATTTGGCAATGCGGAATCGCGATTTGGCTTAAAGACGAGCCGGGGGTTGGGGGTTTGAAAGGAAGACGCACCCGATGCTGCTTCCAAGATGCAGACTTGGTGGCGCACAAGCGGTGCGGGTACGATGTCACTAACCCACACGTGGAGTAGGCTATGTGCTGTTTCCGAGAACTCGAGCGCGAATGCATCGGTATTGGCCGGGAATAGACAACTGTGAATCGCGCTCTACCTCGGCGTATACACGTCAAGCAGTGACCGCTCCGACGACGACCAAGCTCTGCGACGGACATCCATCGTGACTATGCGCACCTGTGCAAAAGAAAAAAAACCCATACGTAGCAGTGACACCTTGAGTGCTTCACCAGCCACCTGGACCAAGGAACGCGAAGATGGATCCTTGGAGAAGTGGGGATGTATCCATCACGTTTACGGAAAGTGGGGTTGTAGGTATCAAGACAAGGAGAGATTCAAGCACTACACTTGAAGTGTTGTTGTAAGAGGTAGAGGAGCAAGATTTTAAAGTTTATTGGTCTCCACAAGCTGCTTGGTAAGCTCACGCTTATAAGATAGACACTATACTAGCAGTGAATACTAGACTTTACTATATTAGTATATTAGAATCACGCATAAAATTCATGTTTGCGAGAAAATGCAGATATTGCCCTTAGTACTTTGGTTTGGTTGCTATATCTTAAAATAGATGCTGTCTTAACGGCTATCTTGATTGCCACGTCAGATTGATTACTATGACCATCCCTACCTTAATTGCTAGGCCAGATCAATCACCACATGCTGAAGTGAAGAGCTATGGATCGGGCCAGCTGAGCAGACCGGTGAAGCAGTCGGAGTTAGAGCACCCCGGTCACGAGGCTAATGAGCTAGCAAGCTTAAGCACTAGGTCGATAGATAGATCTTGGCAATTGTATATAGCTGCTGTCTTTGGGAGTCTTGCCAGAGCAGCGAACCTGGTCAATTCATTCACCAACCCGATCACTTATGAGTTGTCAGTTCCCGCGCTCAATCAATTGCTAGGCCAGGTCAATCACCATCTTACTCGCCGTCTTACTCTCCAGGTCAGGTTTATCGCGATCTTCATTGCGATACGTCATTTCAATCGTTGTCTTAATCGCAACTTCTGTCGCAATCGCAATATCTGTGTTTGTTCAAAAGCCAGGTCAATCACTAATGGAAGTACCATCTTAACCACCATGTTGATTACTAAAGTTGAATGTTTTAGAAAGAGTTCTGGTGAGGTAATAAGTACACGCTAAGGGAATAAGCCTGAGAATGCAACAAGAGCAGATACTAGTAAATATATTTACGTAAACGCACAAAACAAAGCTACTACGCATACCTACTCCATGTACCTAAGCCTATTCTAGTCAACACCGCCCAAGTCTTACTATACCCTACGTGGAATTATCCTGTTCACAAGACTGATTGCATAAAACACGGATAGTGAAGAAGTTTGGTGACGGCATAGTGTTCACATTAGGCCTAGTCTAAGACTAAACACTACTAACTATAAGAACCCAATGGCGCAATATAAAGCGGCCTACTCCGCCCAGCAAGCCACATGCCTTTGTACTAAAGCCCTCGACAGGAATGTAGTAGGTAACAGAAAGATGTATCAATACGAGATAGCCGGTGGCATATCCAAAGCAAGGCCTCATCCGCCCCCGCTTAAGCTAAAACATCAGTGCGTATGCGCTTCTAGTAACCCGTCTAGTATCGTAACGCCTTGAGCACCACACGTGGACGTGACGATAAGCGCTTCTCGCATCAACTTTGGGGACAATCAATGGCGCCATATCGAGGTGAGGCCCGTGCTAATACGAACCAGATTCTGACACGGCATTCTAGCATTTGTGCCTGTAGCAATCGAATGGCGGCATATAAGAACCAAATCAAGGGAGAGCTCAGGCTGGGGTAGCGCTTGGTTCCCGCTGGCTGTCCTTGCATGGCGTGGAAAACAAGGCCCAAGACAGGCAGCGTGTACGCTCGGCAGTCTTCGGCCCTAACTCAGCTGTGCCCAGAATCTCCACCATAACGGCTCAAAGCGCGGAGCCTTTATGTGGTTCCAAGTGGCCCTTCCTCGGATAACTTTCATGTAACAGGAGGAACTGCGGTAGTATTTTGGTGTTGTTTGCATGAATAAATCACCCGAGGCTAGGCTATTTTAATCCCATCCCAGCCTCACGCCCGCACATGTCTACGCGGGTCTAACCGCAATCAGCCTAGCCATTTCCGCCCGAGGATGGCGTACATTTCGTCAGCTACATACAAGAGTCTTGGCGCGTCTCAAACAGACCAGGCTCATATTCTCCACATCTTGTAGAGGAAACGGAGATCCGCGATAAGAACCTGTTTGCATCGACCAGAAAACAACTCAATCCAGCACATGCGGTGTCGTCGTGGTACACACGGGGTGCGGACTTCATCGCCAACCCAGAGCCCAAGGCGCAGAGAACACAACCATGTCGACAAGCATGAACAGGCGCTCGTACGCTCTCCTCACGTGGTATTTTGTTCTCTTTCGTAATGAAGCTTCATACCCTGTTGAACACGCCAAACTACCTGGAGAGACCCCCTGTTGACGGCCGGATAAGCACTACCTAAGACTGTGCGCAACCTTGTTCACCAAGACAATCCCTGTGCGTCACCAGTATCTCAATCTGCTGTATAAGTATGGCCGATGCGCCGTTCGGCAGGTCACCGTATCTAGCTTTGCAATCATTGCACAGTTTACATACACCCCCGCCCCCCTGTGCCGTCCGCTCGTCTCTGTCTCTAGTCTTTTTTTATTCTTTCTTCACCGTCTTTGCTAGGTGTTTGTCCAATTCTCCGCCATGCATCTTACTTCGCTACTGGCACTCGCTGCGAGCGCCGTCATGGTAGCAGCGGCGCCGACTTCCAACATCGTAGTCATGGAAGACGAGGTGGTTCTTTATGGCAGCGGCCGTTATCAGATCATGAAACGCTCCGAGTTCCATGAAAAGTTCTCCGACTACTATTTCAACCAGAGTAGTGTACCGGCACAAATCGACACCAGAGGCATCACCACGTACACCAGCGAGCAAATTGAAGAGATAGTTGTAAGGGAGACGAGTAACAAGATCAAGCGTGATAACGGAGACGTTGTCATTATGGGCCAGAAGACACGCTTTCTTGGCTGGGACGTACAAATCAGTCCAATTGTTAAGGGCGGGCCCAATACGGGTACTTTTGTTGCTGTAGCAGCAGGCTACAGTATCAGTAATTCTATTGCCATTGGTGTGAGCGCCAAATTGGGATTGATCGAAAAAGTCCTCAGTGTAAGTGCAAGTTTTCTGCGAACGTGGACAACGACAAACACTCAGGACCAAACACTATCCTTCTTTGTGCCGCCTGGAAAAATTGCTTGCTGGGTTAGTAACCCGTGGACCAACCGCCAAGAAGGTTGGGTCTGGACGGGTACTATTGGACAACAGGGGTCACTAGAATACTGGCGAGCAGACCAGTTCGAATCCAAGCAGTACAACAACCTTGCATGGGTGGATGGTGTTATGCAGACATGCGTGGGCGACGATTATCCTCTGAAGAGATGCAGTGGAGCAGGATTTCTGGGGGCTTCGTAAGAGGAGCCTCGGGAGGTGGATATTGGGGATATTGAATGACTATTTGTAATGAACCACATATGTATATAGCCTTGAGGCATCAATGAGAAACGTCGCACGCACCCAGATCAGCGCTTTTTCTCGTCAAACGCAACCTGTCATGTTGCCATGAGTCGAATTTGCTGCACTGCATGTCGTCGGTCGTCTGGGTGAAGCGCCAAGTAATGGTTAAGGAAAGTCGTCGCGCAACCCCGCCATTCACAATCCACGGACACATCCACAAACACTGCCGATGATGCAATCCTGCAAGAATTGGTGTTGGCCTCGCTGAATAGTATCGACATAGTCAGGCATGCTGCATGAGAAGCAGTTCTCTGCGACGTTGCTTGGGCACTGCCAGTCGGCCTGTTGCGCCACAGGTACTTGGTCTGTGGCGACAGGCGCACCAGCCATGGGCACTTGGACATGGCCAGAAGCCTCACGGCTATGATTCGCCTGCTGACCTGATGACACGAGCGAGCTCAGCTGCGGAAGAGAAAAAAAAGACACGGTGGAGTTCACGCGAAGGGCCGTGTCGATTGCGCAATATGCGCTAGCTGGAAACGTTGGCTATGACAGTGGGTGAAAGGTCTTGGAGAAACAACAAAAGCCCACCCCTCAGCCCTCGACGACTCCTTCTCTTCACCAACTGCCTGCCTATCTGCAGCCTGCAAGATATCCGCTGTCAAAACACGCGACAGTCCGTTTCTCCCAGACTCTACGCACCACAGGTAAATACGTACTTGGACTCGGTGCCCCTCCATGCCCCTCCATATGCCCCTAGCCATAGCTACTTACCCCACCATTTCCCCCCTCTCCCCCACCATGGCACCGCCTGCATCCATTCCCCTCGCCCTCAGAGCAACACTGACCAAGACACCACGCGGCAGAACATTACACAATGGCTGAAGGACGCTCCGAGCCTCTGCGCCTGGGCAGCACCGCCCCCAACTTCAAGGCCGAGACGACGGCTGGCCCCATTGACTTCCACGAGTTCATTGGCGACAACTGGGTCATTCTCTTCTCGCACCCCGAGGACTACACGCCCGTCTGCACCACAGAGCTCGGCGCATTCGCAAAGCTCGAGCCAGAGTTTGCGCGCCGCGGGGCCAAGCTCATCGGTCTCTCGGCCAACACCATCGACTCGCACGCGGGCTGGATCAAGGACATTGACGAGATCTCGGGCAGCAAGCTCACCTTCCCCATCATTGGCGACAAGGAGCGCAAGGTCGCCCTCGCATACGACATGATCGACCACCAGGACGCCACCAACGTCGACTCAAAAGGCATCGCCTTCACCATCCGCTCCGTCTTCATCATCGACCCCAAGAAGACGATCCGTCTTATCCTGAGCTACCCTGCCTCGACCGGCCGCAACACGGCCGAGGTCCTGCGCGTCCTCGACAGTCTGCAGACGGGCGACAAGCACCGCATCACCACGCCCATCAACTGTAAGTAATTCCCCAGTATATTCTTTTGCTTCTTTGGCCATGAAACACTCCCCTGTATTTCCCCATGCTAACCACATGTCTTTGCTACAGGGGTCCCCGGCGACGACGTCATTGTGCACCCAGGCGTCTCCAACGACCAAGCCAAGGAGCTGTTCCCAGACTTCCGCATCGTCAAGCCCTACCTGCGCTTCACCCCGCTGCCCAAGGAGAAGACGACTGCTGCTTGAAAAGGCTGTTTGTCATGAAAAATTGTCTAATTGGCCGTGGTGTGTTGCAAAGCGACGCGCAGCCGCTTTCCTTTGGGAGCAAAATACATGAACCCAGGGAGACTGTTATGAGAATACATGAATTTATATCACAATGATAATGAAAATCACATACATATATACATATCCAAGAGCCACCTCGTTGCGGTGCCCTCGGTGGCTCTAGGGAAAACAAGTGGGGGGGAGGGGAACGTGTTACAGATGTACATAAGTCTACACAAGTGTCGGTCTCTCTCTCTCTCTCTCTCTTCTTTTTTTGGGAGATAGAGGGGGGGCGCAATATTTTAGCTTCAGTGATATGGACGGGAGCAGCTAATAGTTTACATGGATAGGGTGCTAGGTGTAAGGTGTAGGTGCTGGGGTAAAGGACAGGGCTGGGGGACTAGGGCTGCGCTCCCGCTAAGCACTAGTTGCGTATGTATGGTATGGTAGGAGCTTTGGATGGGGGGGGGGGGGCGTCACGAGGTGCGGTGAGATGTTAGAAGGAGAATGAGGCCGAGAGGAGGGAAGAGCAGTAGAAGAAGGCACCGTGGAGCAGGAGAAGATTTAGTGCTGGCTAGGTCTATGTTCTTACCACCAAAGTACCTCCGTCCCCCACTTAGGGACTTTCCCCGCGGTACTCCCGTACAAGACACCACGCAGTCAGTCAGTCAGCAGCCGCGGACTAGAAAAAAAATTGAATAAATCGCGCATCGGCTAAGTACATGGCTGGATCTGCGGAGGGTACCAGGGACTGGGTACCAGGGACTGGGTACGAGGTACGAGGTACTGAGCGTATAGCGTATGTGTACACAGTATGTACACAGTACATATGTACGCGGTATATGTGTGTAGGGGGGTAACATACATAGCCAAGTCTCACGTGTCTACATCGATGCATTGATATGTGTAGTTGTATAGATTAGATAGAGAGCTACAGCTATAGATGTATCGATGTATGTTTATATGCGCTTCATGCGGGAATTTAAGAAAAAATTAAAATAAAAAAGTAGATGTGGAGAGAGAGAGACAGAGAGAGAGAGAATGAGGGGGGAGGCGATGTACTTGGGATTCGGTTCGGTGTAAGTACATATGTAGGTGCGACAGGGCTCATGGTATGTACGTACATGATTACATACATACATACATACGATAATAGTGGATAAGTACATACTTAGTTATAAAAAAAGGTGGCAAGTCATAGCTACATAATAACAGTCATGATATAAAAAATCTGATATGTTGAATTGAATTGAGTAAGTAAATAAGTAAGTAAGTAGGACTTTTTTTTACCTAGCGTTTAGTATTATGATTTTGAATGAATGAATGAATGAATGAATGAAGGAAAAGAAAAAAAAAAGAGAGAGAGAGAGAGAGAGAGGGCAGGGAGCGAGGGAGAAGTATCATGCTGCTGCTGCTGCTGCTATTCTTTCTTTTTTTTGAAGCATAGATAGCCAAGTAAATGCAAAATGCATCATGAGTAAGAAAATAAAAAAAAATACATGAGTACTTACATGATGGGTGGAAAAAAAGAAGAAAAAAAAACAGTTTCTATTAAATAAGAAATAACAGAAAACGAAACGAAATAAAACGAAACAAAACGAGACAAAACAGACCGAAAAAAAAAAGTTGGGTGCGGAGAAAAAACATCACGCATGCACACCCGAGCCACTATTCTGCACGGCTTGGTGTGGCTCGCTCATACGAAGAAACATGTTTTTTTTTCCAACTCCATGTCGCTATTTGTTAAATAATGCATTCTTCCCTTGTATCGCTCTCTCTCTCTCTCTGTGTCCCTCCCCTCTCTCTATATCTCGCTCTTCCAACATGCCCTCCACATCATCTACATCTAACCCATTACGTACGCTCATGCTCCTTGCAAGCCAAGGCCGACGCCATCGCCGTTGCCCATGGCGCCAGCATCTTCCCTACTTCGATCTCTACTTCGGCCCATTTCGCGGATCCTGCGGCCCTCCATGAGGCCTCTGAGGCCACGCTTCTGCAGACCTACGACAGCGCTCATCTCGCCGTTCCACGTTTCCCGGTCCTCGATGACGCTGCCGTCGCCGAGACCGCTATCCGACGCAGATGCAGATGTGGACTCTGACACGGCCGAGCTGACCTCGTCGTCATGCTGCCGCTCCACGTCCGTGTTGAGCCGGAGCGCACGGAGGCCCGCGTCAAGACTGCGTTCAACATCGCCACCGGTGCTATTGGCGCTCGACTGAGACGCCGAAAGCCCATTGGACGTGCCGTTTGTGCCAGACACGCCATTGACTCCCATAAAGGCAATGCCCGACCCGCCCCCAGCTGCCATGGCCGCGGCATTGAAAATGGCTGCAGTGTTTCGGTTATCTAGTAGCAGGTGCAGCCGCTCGATGATGGCTTCTAGCAGGCCGTCAATGTGGTATGGCCGCGCGAGTTGGAGCAGAGAGCAGAGTATCTGTGGTGAGCATAGTGGCGAGTTTTGCGGCGGAAGAGATGATGTGTATAGAAAGTGTATCAGTGCTTGAAGGGTGAGGTGAGTGTGGGGTAAGAAGAGTGTCCGAGGCCGTTGAGCAGGAGCGTGTGATGAGGCCTCTGGTGGACTCAGTGAAGAATAAGAATTGGCCGACACAGCCGTGGCTTCGGACGGCGTTATAGTATTGGCAGTCAGTGTCGTGGCTGCCGAGTAGTTTGTTCGGATAGACGGTGTAATGGTTATACTCGAGTTGCGTGACGGATGCATCGTTGCACTGGGCCGCAGTGTTGCTGCGTCGGCAGTATCCTTTTCAGCGCTTTGTACACTCTCGCGGAGGAGCTGATTGAAATAAGGGCCCCAGCGTCGAGCAATCATGTGCGAGTTGACGGGAATGCGTTCACCATTCAGAGCGAGAAAGTCCATGTCGGCGAACTCGCGCATGCCCAGGGCCATCTGTCCGAGCTCGATTGCTGAAGGTAGAAGCGTCCGGCCACCAGCAAGCACGTCAAGCCGGTCATGCAGTGGCGGTGCGCTTACTGATGTGAAGCCTGACGCAGGCGTAACTTTACGTGGGTTGTCGTACAGTCCAAATGCTTCTAGCTCCACGACGCACATATTCGAAAAGTTGATGCGCCGATGATTGTAGTCTTCCACCAGGCTTCGCTTGCGGTTGCCCAAAATTACAAAACTGTTTCTGCGATTCCATAGCACGCCTCTATTCCAGCTTCCTTGGCTAAAGATATTGCCGCCGGCTTCTATTCGCCCCCAGCTTAGTGTGCGCAAGTCAAGAGCCCAGAGCGCGTACTCTTGCTTTGAAGAAGTTAAAAATGTGCCGCTTACTACAAAGTGGTTGTTGATGACGCCGCCGTTGGGAAAGCGGAGGCCAGGCGGCGAAAAGTTGCCGTGCATGGGCTTTTCCGAAAGTGTGCCATCGGAATGTCGTACTTGCAATTCAAGCTTAACATCGAGAAAGTTGTAATTTGAGTAGATGAGCATCGACGACTCGCCATTCGCGTTGGGGTATTGCTCGTCGGGTGCTCTTGCGTCGTCACTACGCCTCCCTTCTCCAATCTCATTAGGGTTAATACTGGTCAGTGGCGCAACCACGCTTCGATATGCGCCACAACTCCTGCCCAGTGTGCTGGTGCCTGTCCATTTGAGACTCCTGAGGTTGAAGACGCTAATCTGTTCAATGTAGTGATTGGCACTGTCCTGACCGCCCACGACCAGCATCTCCGCGCCACCGGTACCGTCTAGCTGAACGCCTAGCGACCCTTGGTTCGGATTCGACGACTGTGGATTATGCCGTATAGCGCTTACTGCAGCACTCGTTGAGCTGAAGACGGCTGAGCTCGGAAGAATGGTGGCGCAATGGGCGTAGCGACCCTGTGGCGCATCGCTCGTGGCAATGTGCATCCATGTGCGCGTGGGCGCATCATAAATGTGAATGTCGGACATGACGACAACCTCGGGCTGGGCATCTGCGGGCGCGCCTTGTATCACCGACGTGGCTTGGTTCGACGAGGAGCTTGCAGGGGACATGCCGCCATAGCAAACCAGCTTGGTGTCGCCCAGTGCACAAACACTGTGGAAATAGCGCGGCGGCGGAATATCACCCTTGGTCTCAATCTTTGTCCAGTGGCGCTTGACGAGATCGAGTTCGTACAGGTCGGACGTCAGCTGCGGCCTCGTTCGTGAAAGCCGCCTGCCGCCAAAGACGTAGAGCTTGTCGCCGAGAATGGTGGTTGTCGCGCCCACGAGCGGATGCGGCTCTTTGCCAGTAGTGCGGTGGACGTTGCAGACTAGCCCCGATAGTCCTGCGGTAGAGGTTGCAGGTGTTGCCAAGCCTGCCAGCATTGCCGGTGATTGGGAGACGCCGGAGCCAGGCGTGCGGGTAGACGACGTCGAGGGGCGCTCGGATGCGCCATCTTGGTTTTCTTGCCGGTTCAAGCTGGTTTGGCTGCTGTTTTGACTCGAGAGGTAGGGTGCCGACGTCTGGGAATCGATGGTATTAGTCCGGCTCTGAGACATGCTGGCCGGACTCCAAGGGCGGGCGGAGCTGTCTTGCGGAGGGCCAACAAGGTCAAGGGGAAATTCAAGGGGTAGAAATGGAAAGCGTTGTACAGATGGGGCTGGATGCGGTATTAGTGTCTCCACATGACGAGACTGGAGGGCGGACGAGAGACTCGAAGCTTTGGCGCTCGGAGCAGGGCGAGGGCAGCGGCTGGGGCCACGGGTGCTAGCAATCGAGGGAGTTGGAGAAGACGTGGATCCGATACTCGTACAGGCGCTTTCAGGTACTACGGCTGGGTCATAGCGCGAGTCAGCAATTGGCTTTACCGAGCGAGACCGAGGGTCGAGTGAACGTCTCTTGTTCAGTAGGAGCCGTTTGATGTTGGACGCCTTTGGCCTTGTCCAGAAAGACGGGACGTCACCAAACGGTCCGACGCTAGCGCCAACCGAGGGGTAAGAGAGTCCTAACGGCAGGGCCATGGTTAGCGATCGACTTGGAGGATGGGGTGATCAGAGGCAAGGGGCTGCGGGACAGAGGCGTGTGGTGCTCTTGAAATATGGCCATGATGGCGGCTGCAGCAGAGGCCCAAAGCAGGCGGCCATGCAAGGCTCCCGCCGCCGAGGGAGCGCAGGGCGTTGGATGCAAAAGCCATGTTTACATATTGGGCAAGGTGACTCTGCTGCGGTGCTACAATGCCGTCGCACAATCGCCATGCCCGGGACGGCGTCTCAAGATAGGACAGGATGCATTTCCGGGCATCCGGGGGCACAATTGCGTGCACATGGTCGTGGTTCGCAACTTGCTCCCATGGTTGCATGTGGGCGGTGACGGGCTTGTAAGGGGGCTGATGAAGACAACGAGGGAGCGGCGTGAGCGAGCGAGGTGAGGGTGGGAGGGGGGGGGGACGAGGTGACGAGGGAGACGTGTGAGGAAAAGACAGTAGCCTTACTTGAGAATGCGCCACACGCACGAGCAGGGAAGCGGGAGATGCAGTAGCACGGGAAAAGTATACAATGAAGGACGAGGCGGTAGTCTTGCTGGACTCGACTGGCGCGTACAGCAGATGGCAACGAGGTTCGTGCCCGAGGGTGGAGCGCAGAACGAGTCTACGCCGGAAGGGGACTGGCGGCTTGGCAAAAAAGGCGGCAAGGAGAGACCAGACTAGGGGTACAAGGGCGGGCGTGGTGATGGCTCACGAGGGGGGTTGTGGTGTGGTGTGGCTGCAACGACTCGGGGGGGGGGGGGAGGCAAAACTTGGAGCAGTGTAGATGATAGCGGAGGACTGCCTGTGTGTGGGATTAAGGCGGAGGGGGGACAAGCCACGCAGCGGCGGCGGGGTGTGCGGGCGGAGCCTGTCTAAAAGCAGATAAAACTCTAAAAAAAAAAATAAAAAGGCCGAGACTCGACACGCTTGTGACGGGCAACAATTGGGGGGAGGGGGAGGGCAGGAAGTGGAGGCTCGACACCGCCTGGACACGCGAGGCGGTTGCACGACTTGGGGCTGGCCGAGTTGCTGTCCAGCCAGACGTCTTGTCGCCAGGCCTTTTTCTACCCGCTGGCGAGGGGGAGGCACGGGCGCAAAAGCAATTAGCGCTCGACTGTCGCGCGACAAATCAGCTGGCACAAGCCTGTATATTCCCCCCCCCCAAGACGCCATCAGCCCTAGGTGGTGACATCGGTGAGGGCGCCAAAAACAGGTGGCCAATATTGTACACACCGGCGGGGGGGGGAGAGAGAAGAACCATCAAAAAAAAAGTAGTGGGCTTGGCTCTCTCTCTCACACACTCACACATGCCCGCATCTCATACGACTCGACGCCGTCTTTTTTTCGTCGTCACATTGTCACCTTGCCGCCTAGCAAGTATTTAGTAGACGCGATTTATCCAAACCAATCCTACCGCTCCCTACCCAATATCGAGCAATTCCTCTGCAATCCCAATTTCTGAAGGATTCCGTGGGGCCGGAGCGTCTAATACCGCTTATGGGGGTGACAGCCTTGTAACTTTTTCATCACCTCAGCTTCTCAGGGGTAAAGAGCAGGAAGGAAAAGAAAAAAAAAAGACAATAACCTCTCTACACTATCCACGACCTCTCTTGCTTCTTACAAACATCGCCAGCGAGTGGAAGAGGAAAAAAGACTCCATGGCTATTGACGTCAGCATTTTATTTGCCCCGTGCGGCCTACTTGGATCCCGCCTACCCGGTAAGTAAGAGAGAGGCTGGGGTAAAATATTCCGACGCGCGTTGCTGCATTTCCCAAGCTTTCCTTGCCAGTGTTGCGGGAGAGCAACCGTCCAACATGGAAATTTCGCATGCAGGGCTTGGCGGAGACGTTGTTAGGCCTCTCTCCAACTCGTCTTACTTAGTACTTCTCCATGTACAAAAAAACCGTCTTTTTGGCATGGCCCTTTACAAGTCCTTTCCTTTTCTCCTTGCCTATCGAACCATAATCGCCATGCTGAGAAAGGACACACTGGCCAACCGGTAATCAAGTAAAGTAATTAAGTACGTAAGCAAGTAAGTAAAGGGCTACCATAGCAGTTCTTTTCCCGTGTGAATACCTGTAGTAAACAGATACTCTTAAACCATACGCAGAACAAGCATAAATTCAAACAAAGAAAGAAAGCAAAATAAAAAAGTGGACCATTTGACCCAGGTTTCTTGTTCGTCACTGGCGTTTACTATGTACTTAGTATTTACAACATGACAAATTGTAGAGAAAAAACACAGCACGTGAGCCCCCCCGAAAAATTTAACAAACAGCAAACGAAGTACTTACGCACTAGCTAGCTCTCTTGGACCCGACAACCGAACAAGCCCAGGGTGGGAAGGAGAGAGAGAGAGAGAGAGAGAAAGAGAAAGAGAGAGAAAGAGGGAGTGCAGACGTCTCTCACCGCTCTCACTCTCTCTTGACTCTTGCCTAGAGTAGAGTATCTACGGATAGTGTACTTGGAAACGAGTTGATTTAGCTATTCTTGGGTTTGGCGTTCAAGTGCGTCATGTGGACTTGATTATAAGGCTAGAGCGGCGGAGCATGTACCGAAGCTTAGTTGGATAAAGTACACAAGGTACACAAAGTACCAGTTACGTCACGGGTTGCTGTCTTCCATCTGTGTCCTCGATATTCAAATTCCAACGGGATACCGATACAAAGGCTACAACAGACTCTCTTTCCATCGTCTCGAGATAATCCATCATGTGCTTGTCGCGTATCCTTGACTGAGATACTACAAGCACTCCGTCGACCTTGTTCCAGAACCCACAGTGAAATTCCCTGTGAGCTGGTGTGTCCGCGGAAGCGTCAAAGAAGACTCGGTCATGTGATTGGATGCCCAGAATTTACAGCTGTTCGTAGTCTAGCGGCCATGGACTACATCAGGTCGCCGGTGGGCTGCGCAGCTTTTCCAAATTCGCCATGTGGGCATCCCAAGAGCCAAGGCACTTGCTGCTCAGGCCACCCGTCCTGGGTCCATTTGCCACTGGAACGGTGTGGTCGTCGTGGTCGCAAGGCTGAGCCTACCAACAAAAGTAGATATGGAGCATGTCTCCTGACAGCATAGCTTGCGTTCCCTGATCTAGAACATGGGTACGGAACGGATTGGTGAGGCCGTATGTCGCCAAGGAGGCCATTCCCGACCGGCATGTCGATGGCATGTCGATGGCATGTCGACGGCCATGTGTTCCTTGATGTGTGCAGATGATTCGAGGTATTGCATGATCTTGAATCATGGCGAAATTGGCCTCGTCTTCCTTAGCGATTCATCCTAGCAGCCTCGGGTGCCCTGGGGGTATATGGCGGCGGGGCCTCGTATCTCGCAGTCTCGTCGCCGCCCCACCCATGCCCCTTTCTCCAGCTGTACTCGGCTCTTCCAGGCATATCCCCGTTCTCGTACACGCGCTCCGAAGGCAGTCGAGCTGGCGCAAACCCAGCTTGTCGTTCCATTCGGTTGAGTTCACTGTACATGCCTTTGTTTGGCCCGTTGCTGAGTGTGAGGCCTTGATTGGCTCTGCTTCGGTTCCGTTTCAGAATGGATAGCACAATGAAGCCGATGCAAAGGCCGGCGCAGACGATGAGCGAGGCGACGAGGAGAATGGTACGGTGCGTGGTGCATGCAGCTGTATAGTCGTTGTCGCACGAGTCTGAGCGTTTCCGTAGGGCGGCAGTGAGGTGTAGGGTGGGAGAAAAGTTCAAAGGTAAGAAGCTGGGCGCCATGTTTTGCATGTTGCGGGCGGTGGTGTCAGAGGGCGTGCAGCAGACGGGGCGTCGTTGTTATAGAAGAGGTGAAGGCACCACACAAAAAATGTCGACATGTACAACTATACATGTAATGGTCAAGAAAAAGGACAGTCGTCATGCAGCGCGGGCATACCCGCTACATATCTAGCCCCGAACTCAGCTGGGTGGAAGCATCTGCGCCGGGCCCCTATACTGCGCCGCCTTGCACAGCAGCCATGAGCAGTGTGGTTCTCTGGCGACCTTGAACCGGCAGCGCGGCAATAAAACTCAGATTTAGCTGTGTCTGTGCCGCAGTCCGGGCGCCTAATGGGATTCCCTGCGGCGGGCGGTTGCAGAGAGTCATTGTCGTTGCTGGAATGCTGCACTGCCTCTCTTCCATGTGCATATTTGGGTCCACCCAAGCGAGGCGCCGTCTTCTGAATCCGGGCTTGGGCGCTAAGTGTCTTGTCCGAGACGGTTCGCCTGCTTGCTTGTTTGCGTGCCCACTCCTTTGTCGGAGCACAAGAAACACGCGGGGGCGATATTTAAGGAGGCGTTGTTGTGGTGGTGGTGGTGGTGGTGGGTTGTTGTGAGGAGAGAGTGGCGTTGTGCGGGATGGTTTGCTGGGACCAGACGAGGCCCGAGGCGCGCAAGGCTCCCCGTGCAGGCACCGGCGCACCCACACGGGGATTTGGCAACTCTCGACCCACGCGTCGATCTGTCCGGCAGCCAAGAGTGCCTGGACTTTATCGCTGCTTGCTCCTCGGGCCCAGTGCTTTCGAGGGCGCTTTGCGACATGCTGTGCCTTGTGGCCATGCTCGCCTCAGCTATCGCAACATGGCACGACTGCACAAGTATGCCTTGGGAGGCTGTATCCACGGGAGGCATCCTGTGCGCATGGCCGAGAACGGTATGTCCTAAACTTACTTACGACATGCGCAGTCCACCTCCTAACGATAAGGAGCAGTGCCTGGTGGAATCATCGCATAGACGCATATGGGTCAACAGCCTAGACGACGCTGTAAGCAGACAGCTGGATCCTGTGCCTGCTGCCTCTGCATTATACACGGCTATGCGCCAGTTGTGCGCACGCCTCCATGGCAGTTGTTGTGCAAAGAAGCCTACTTACTGTGTTATTCCCTAACTCAAAGGAACGACTTGAATCAGCAGCGGAGAGCAAGGGCTATGTGCTGCCCCGAGACGTCTGTGTGGATTTATAGGCGCTTGCAATGCGTCGCTTCGGCTATACAGTACCCAAGTACTTACACATGCGAACATCCAACATGTGCAACCAACGCTCGCCTCAAGGCCTAGACACGCTCAGTATTGGCTGGACGCTTTAGCCACCACGACGATCAGCCTGAAGCTCCCCAAAATCCCACGTCGACACCCCGCGGCAAGCTCCCGGAATACCCAAACAGGAAACTCCCGAAGATTCCGGACATCGTTCCCCGCAAGCACGCGTCTCGAGCTCTGCCACGATAGTGCCGTCTATGCACACGACGAGTAGCCACGGCCAGACTCGCTCCAGCACAGTCTGGTGACCGGAATTCCCGCCTGGGTCCGACTTATAAACCCACAATACCCCCGTGTTGCGCACAATTTACGCAATGAGCGCGCACCGCTTCTCTCTTGTATAAATACCCTTCTGTCGACTTGTTCAGTGTACATTGTAATTCATATTTCTCCTCCTGTTGTGCCTTGAGCTTTTAGGCAGAACCAACCCACATAATGCCGACCCACGGACTGCCAGAATTCAGCCTAGCCGGCAAGGTCATATTGGTGTCGGGCGCTGCTCGAGGCCTTGGTCTCACACAGGCTGAGGCATTGCTGGAAGCCGGTGCCCGAGGTGAGCTGTTCCCGCAATTCCGAGCGCCATGGGCTTTGTCGACTAACCTGACGTGTCAGTGTATGCGCTGGACAGACTGCCCGAGCCGTCACCGGATTTTGCACCGATTGCGGAACGAGCAAAGAAGGATCTGGGAACTTTGCTTGAATACCGCCAGATCGATGTGCGAGATGTGAAGAAGCTGCACGAGATTGTCGAGGACATTGCAAGCAAGGAGGGAAGACTGGACGGACTGATTGCAGCGGCGGGTATCCAGCAGGAGACGCCTGCACTGGAGTACACTGCCGAGGATGCAAACCGCATGTTTGAGGTCAACATCACAGGCGTAATGATGACTGCGCAAGCGGCGGCAAAGCAGATGATCAAGTTTGGCAAGTGTGGAAGTATTGTCCTTATTGCGAGCATGTCTGGAACCGTGGCCAACCGGGTATGTTCACCACAGCCAGTTCGTCTTCCCTTTACTGACGTCTTCTCAAGGGCCTCATCTGCCCGGCATACAACGCATCCAAAGCAGGCGTGTTGCAGCTTGCTCGCAACCTGGCGGCAGAATGGGGCGAGCACAAGATTCGCGTCAACACAATCTCACCAGGATACATTGTGACGGCCATGGTCGAGGAGCTCTTCAAGCAGTACCCCGAGCGACGGGAAACATGGCCAACGCAGAACATGCTGGGCCGCCTGTCCAAGCCTGAGGAATACCGCGGCGCTGCAGTCTTCCTTCTCAGCGAAGCGAGCTCCTTCATGACGGGGGCGGACCTGAGGATTGACGGGGGGCACTCGGCGTGGTAGGCGTGTAGTGTATGTATATAATGTATGTAGCGAAATAACGTTGCGATTCACACCCGCTGGCGTCGTTGTCGTCGTCGTCGTCGTCTGTCCAATGCGAGGCTGCGGAAGTCCGGAGTAGGCAAGAGAGCGCTGACTAAGCAGCGTCTTGGCACGCGAGGCCGGCCACGGCAAGAGCATCACGCTCCCCACGACGAGCGCGCCTTGTGTGAGAGTCCTTGCCGCGCCATGACGAGTTGCAACCGATGGCTGCGGTGCTGCTGGTAGGCGTCTCCTGCCATGAGCCCTCCCCAAGACCGACTTCTCGCATTTCGACCCTGTGGCCCATTGTCCCATCCTCGCTCGTCTGCTAGGCACGATTTCGGGCCCTCTGCCGCTCGAGCATGACGGCATCAACTCCCTCGACCGTCTCCCGCTATGCGCCCGCCGTACTTTTTCTCACTGGAGTATCGGCTGGCTATGCGGCCTACGTCATCTACAACTCGCTCCAGTCGTCGGGCCCAGGCGACGGCCTCCACCGCAGCAATGCCGTGCGCAGACGGCGCCCGCGAGACTCGCCAGCGGCGGCGGCGCTGCCTGTCAACGACCAGGACATTCCGGTGCTGGGCCAGCATGACGTGCTGGGCACCCGCGTGCTGCTCGACCCTCACAACCTGATCACGCCTGCCGAGCTGCGCAACATCATCCTCAGCGCCCAGCCAGACGCCAGCCAGGACACCGTCCATGTCATCACAGAGCGCACGTACGAAGAGTTCTTCGACCGTCTGCTGGTCGTGCACTCGCCCGACCGTGCCCTCTCGCCGCCCGAGGTCGATGCCCTGCGAACCTGGCTGAACGACCGCAATCCAAACAACACAGCACTGGGCCGCGATGCCCTGGCGCGCGCTGCCACCAGACATGCGCAGATATACGTGCCCATGGGCCCCCTTGGGCTGGACGGTGCCGAGAGTGTCGCGCCTACAGAGCTGTCCCTCGGAAGCGAAGAGGACCACGACGACGATGCTATTGACCCCGAAGGCCAAACCCTCCAGCGCACCCTGTACCACATTGCCGAAGACCGCGCAAGGCTCGAAGGTGTGATACATCGCGGCATCACGTGCAACGGCTGCGACGAGAAGCCCATTCGGGGAACCAGATGGCACTGCGCAAACTGCCCAGACTTTGATTTATGCTCCAATTGCGAAGCAACAAACTCGCACTACAAGAACCACATCTTCTACAAGATCCGCGTCCCTGCCGGCTATCTCAGCCTGCAGAAACAAGAACCCATTTACCCGGGCAAGCCTCACATGATGAACCTTTCCATCGACTCGGCACTGAAGAGGCGCCTGGTAGCCGAGACAAAAATGGAAGCCGAGGAGATTGAGGCCTTGTGGGATCAGTTTACTTGTCTTGCAGGCACCGAGTGGACCGAAGACGCGACGGGCGTGGGCTGGGCTATTGACCGACGCGACTTTAACCACGCATTCGTACCACGCTACAACGGCTTCGTCGCCCAACCCAATCTCGTCTACGATCGCATCTTTGCCTACTATGACACGGATAAGAATGGGCTCATCGGCTTTGAAGAGTGGATCAAAGGACTCGATGGCATGCATACCGCCGACACGGATGCCAAGGCCCGGTTTGTCTTTGACGGCTATGACATTGATGGAGACGGCTACATCTCGCGCAAGGACATACTACGCATCTTCCGCGCATACTATTCCATCGAGAAGGAGGCCACGCGCAACTACATCATGGAGCTGTCCGAAGAAGTGACTGTCCGCAGTGCCCTGGATACGATTCGGTCCAGTCAGCCGCTAGGCTCTGCATTCCCGCCCCGAAGCATGAATGCCTCCAACGCAAGCAACCCCCGTCTGCGCCTAAAGCAAGAGAATGGCGCCAACGCAGCCCCACCAGTGGTCGACCGCAACACTGATGTCGCAGAACGAGACGAGATTCTCAGGACCACTGACCTCCACCACATTGCGCCTGATGAAGCAACCGATGAGCAACAAGCCAATATCTTGAACCGAAGATGGGCCCGTAGGCAATACTATTTAGACGAAGAGGAGGGCTTTACAAGACCCGAGGGGGCTGATGCTCAGAGTGACCCCGAAGACTTGGCTCCGTCTGGTGAGCCCGCAGACTCGAGTGAAGAACGCCTTCGAAACAGAGGCTCGCGTTCCTCATCACGCGTCCGCTTCCAAGATGATGTCGAGCTAGAAACTCGATCCAATGCCTCATCCTCAAGACCCTTTGGAGAGCGTTGGGGTGGATACGAGATACCCGAACCCGAGCAGGACCTTGGCAAGGAAGTACTGTACCAGGTCACACAGCAAGGGTTCAATGAACTGCTCAACCCGCTGTTCCTCGAGAAAGAGGACATGGCCATGGACGCACACGAGACGCGCGCCGAGCGCCGAGCAAAGGCGGCTGCAATCAAGTATATGACTACATATCTCTTCACAGTCGGTAAGGCCGACGTCGAAGCCATTCTTCATGTTGGCATCTTTCGGTTCTCCAAGTGCATGGTAGATAAGTTCTGCCGAGCGCTAAACAATGGGCAAACGCATATTGAACGCCTTGCCCGGGATCCCAACCATAGCGGACCACGCACCGAAAAAGAGGCTCGCGCAGCAATAGAACAAGTCTACGACTCGGTCGAGGCCAAGGTCTTGGGCTCTGTCAAAAATCCAAAGGCAGCAAATGCTGACAATGTGGCGATATGGAACATGTTCCTATGCAAGCGTCAGCTTCGGGAAGAAGCAATCAATGCAGCTTTATCCTGTGCAGATATGAAAGGGTTGCTGTCACGCCATGTTCCAAGTCAAGGTCCAATCGCCGATTACAAGGACCCTACCATGCCCCAGTTTCGGCCGGATTCTCTCGCCCATCCACCGACAAACGCGCATGCTGGCTCGTGCAGCTCTTCAGAGACGGGCGTAGCTTCGGACACTGATGAATCTTCGCTGTCAGCATCTGAGGATACAGATCTCGGGCGATGCTTTTTTGTATGCGCAACCCGCGACGGATTAGAACGATACCCAGGAAGACAACAGTTTACGGATGGAGCGTCAGCATCGGAATCCGGCTCTCTCTCGACACCTGCTGCAGCTGGCGATCTCGCTGAGCAGCCTGCTGAAACGGAGCCGTCGTCGCCCCCTGCCGAGCCGCGCCCGGAAGAAGCAAAAGAAGACAATTTTGCAGTCAACTGGCGCTGGTACACCGATATCCCAGAGTTTCACTTTCTCTTCACCCATAACTCGGAAGGAATAGATGCCGTTCAGTGCGCGAGCAACCAAATCAGCCACTCGACAGATCCATACCACCCCGAGACCAATCAACTCCGACCATTGCAACGCTCGATCCGCCAAATAGCCATGAGCACTAGATCTCCTTTGCATGTCATCATGCTGGCCAGTCTGGAGAGCGTCGAGCAAGAGATGAGCGATCGCAAGGGCGGCGGCCTGGTCAACTTTGATGAATTTGCAGAGCATTTGAGGCAAGGCCAGCTGCGTTTTCTCGAATCGTGGATGGACTGGGTGAGTATGTAAGGGGCAAGATTGAGTCATGCCTTTTACCCAGCCCGTCTCATGCAGAGCTGGCCTCACAACCATGATTGCCCAAGATCTAGCTTGTTTCAAGCTGGAGCTCATGCATCCGTTATCTTGAAATCCAATTAACAATGCTCTAATAGTACAAAGATGTCCTCCCAGGTTTCCTCGCGATAGCCGCCGACGTATTCGAGGTGGGCGTTACAGACGGTTCATGGATACGACAAGCCGATTCTTAGGTCTAGTCGGTTGAAGCCGCTCGATGCGTCCATCGGAAGAAAACCCATGTAAACGTTGTTTGATGCAGTAATGGAGGGAAGAAGGGAAAAAAAGCTTTGGCTGTTGTTGAGCTGCGAAAGCCAACTATAGACTTGAGTTGACGACGACCATGATGTACCGAATACGAATCCTATTATCATTACATTGCCGTGCGATTCATGCTCTTGTTATGAACTGAATGCAAGTATTAGCCGTTACATCACGATCGATATACGTCACCACCATGTTTTTTTTTCCTCCTCCCTCCAGTAACTCTCCCGCGATCTTTTCTTCGAGCCGCGCTTATGCCCGTTCTAATCTACAGTATCAGTATATCCCGCATCATCATCATCATCATCGTCATCATCCGCACCGAACCTACCGAGTCCCCCGACTCAAACTCCAAATTCTAAATCTCGGCATAACCGCAACAGCACTTGGTACTGACACGAAGTACTTGGTTAACGCCGACATCAACACCAACAACAATGCGCGCCAACCCATCGGAAGCCGACCCCAGCACTTGAAGGAACTTGCCCACCCCCCCCCC